CTCATCTCTATTTTAATTGTCTTATTCAGTACCAAGCTTTGTCCTAGAAGAAACCTTCAAAGGTTAGAATCAAGTCTCTTAGATCTGACTAAAACCATCATTTGGACTTACTGCAAATTCTTCAGTTTTAGTTGCTGCTTTTAAAACTGGCTTGTGGAGCTTTCCAATGACAGTGCCTGTTATTTTGGAGTTTTGAGATCCATTAGATGAACCATTCCTTCTTTTAAAACAAATTGTGGTATCATGAAAGTTTTTTGACATCTGGTGGTTTATCCCTGCCCACATTGTTTTGGAGTACCTGTGGATATCTATTCTAAACTTGTCCAAAGTTTTAGTGTGCTTTAATGGTGGTAGAGGTGGTGGTGGGTATGGGGAAGTCTGAGATACAGTCAAACTATGACTTCAGAATCTCCGCAGGAGCAGGTAAAAGTTACAAGGAACAGTATACCTCTTTCAATGATTATCTTTCTCTAAGGTATTTCCTTCCTGTCTTTGAAAAAAAAAAATTTAAGTGCATTACTAGGGATTGTACCAGGGATACTGACTTATATTTTTAGCCTTTTTGTTCTATTGTTTTAAATTTTGAGACAGGGTCTTCCCAAGTTGCCAAGGCTGGTCTTGAACTTGTGATACCTCCTGTCTCAGCCTCCCAGTAGCTGGGATTACAGGTGTTCACCACAATGCCTGACTACTATTAAGTATATTATGGACCCTTGCAAAACCTCTTTATCTCCTCTGTGCCTTATATGGAACAGGTTATGAAGCCTAATATTAATGCAGCTTAAAAATAGAATCACCTACTCCATTAGGACAACTGTGCATTTTTTTTTTCTTCAGAATGACTTCTGCTAAACAGAGAACCTTGTACTATCATCAAACAGTGCCTAGAAAGGGCCAGAATAGTAATTTTTAAAAAATAATTTTTAGTTGTAGTTGGACAAATCTTTATTTTTATGTGGTGCTAAGGATCGAACCCAGGGCCTTGCACATGCTAGGCAAGTACTCTACCACTGAGCCACAACCTCAGCCCCAGAATAGTATTTTTTAAAAAATTTTTTATTAGGGCTGGGGCTATAGCTCAGTGGTAGAGCAGCCGCCTCACACGTGTGAGGCACTGGGTTCGATCCTCAGCACCACATTTTAACTAAAAAAAAAAAAAATTAAAAAAAATTTTTGTTAGTTATTGATGGACCATTATTTATTTATATGTGGTGCTGAAAATTGAACCTAGTGCCTCAAACATGCTAGACAAGCGCTCTACCACTGAGCCACAACCCCAACCCTAGAACGGTATTCTTAAAGTAGAAAAGGGCGCTGTACCTTTTCAGATAGGTAAGTGATTTCCAGTAAGTTTCACGGCACCTCCACTGATTTCTATTTGCTTCCCGTGGAAATTGCAAATTTGCCCCAAATTTCCAAAATTGTCTGTTTGGCTCTTTAACTTTTAATTTTTAAAAAATTATAAAATGGGAATGCCTACCCCACATATTGTTATGCATGAATGAGATAAATAATCACATAAAATGGGAGAGCTCTGGAAATTGTGAAGTAATGTACAAGTTGCCACTGTTACGCTGATTTCCTTCCTTAACGCTGTTCATCTGTTTAGATTTATCACATCAATAAGAAAGCGCGGGGCTGGGGATGTGGCTCAAGCGGTAGCGTGCTCGCCTGGCATGCGTGCGGGCCCGGGTTCGATCCTCAGCACCACATACAAAGATGTTGTGTCCGCCAAAAAACTAAAAAAAAATAAATATTAAAAAAAAAAAAAAAATGAAAGCGTGATGGTGAAATGTGATGGACGTTATTATCCAAAGTACATGTATGAAGACATGAATTGGTGTGAACATACTTTATATACAGAGATATGAAAAATTGTGTTTTATATGTGATGCCTTTCACTGTCATGTATTTAAAAAAATAAAAGCAATTAAAAAAAGAAAAAAAAAAAAGGAAAGCGCTTAGCCACACAGTACTTGATAACAGTCAAGAGACCAATTCCCACTGGCTGGCTGTTGACTGTCATACCTTCGCACTCTCAGTGCCTTGCATACAGCTTAGAACACCTCTCAATGATTATGAAAAATAAACAAAAGCCTTCCAATTCAAGCAGAAAATACACAGGTCTATTAATTATCAGCAGACCTGTGGTACACACAGTTGAACATGGCACTAAGCCTCAATTCTCATCTTTAAAATGTAGCTTCTGGCTTGTTTTCATCACAGAATTTTAAGACAAAATACAATGGACACAGAACTTCTTTTTAAAGAGGACTGCACTGCACACACTATTTTCTTCCTATCCCACTCAGAATTAGGCTAGGTATTCCTAGGGCATCTTCTCCAAAATGCCCCAGGAATTGATTACTTTTGAAGCTCCTTAAAGAAAAAATAGCATTGTCATCTTTGAATCCCTTATGTACTTAGCAACAAAATGCAGTCTATCAGAGGAACTCAGTAAAAATTTTTTCAAACAAATTTTAGAGCAAAAACTGCCAATCTAATCCACTGGCTATCCCCACTGCGCAACTGCAAAACTTATCTTGATTTCAACTATTTCCTTTTTTTTTTTTTTTTTGGTATATTTGTTGTTTTACTGTTAATTTGACACATCTGAACCAAAGCATTCACAATACTTGATATACGTTGTAGAGAATCATATACTATAGTTTTAGACATAACCACAGAACAAGCAGAACAATTAAAACTACATAAGGCCTTAAAAGATATCCACAGTGTGTATTATTTCAATATTCATTCATTTACAAATTAGACTACATACCGTTAATTTTATTTTTATTTCATTGTTTTATTCAGGCAGGATTCATTCAAGGAAAGGCAACTTAGTTTTTGTGTGTGAGCTTTATTTTTTACTATATTGGTTAATATAAAACTTATGAATTAAATGTTTTATTACCTCCTGCATACAGGAGTAAATCCATGAAATTCTTAGATAGTAACCCAAATGAGTGGGTCCTATTCTTAAAAATAGCTAAAGTGAAAAAAGTCCAAATAGCCAGTCTGTTTGTGGTATTGAAGAACAACTAATGGACTTTCAGGTTTTCATACAATGAAGAGTAGTACTACAATTCTACAAGATTAGTCAAAATTTGAAAACAACGTTGCATTACAAATCAGTCTTGAAACCCTAAATGCCTTTTTCAACTATTTCCTTTTATCCCCATTATTACCATCTTTATTGTAGAAGCCACCACCACATTGTTGTTTGCCTGAATATCTGCTATACTTTTCAAACTGGTTTTCCAGCTTTTTTGTTTGTCCTTCCAACAGGATCAAATCAAAGTAACTGTATAATACAACTAAACAACCTGCAGACCATAAATTAGATCCTGTTACTTCTGCTTAAAATTCTGCAGTACTCAGAAGGCAGATTCTTTAAATTAAACCTATAAGGCCCCACACTAAGGACCCAGCAAACTACTGCCTATCGGTCCAATTCAACTTGTCACCTACCTGTTTCTGTAAATGCAGCTTTACTGGAACACAGCCACATATTGTCTACAGATGCTCTGTACTGCAATAAAAGAGTTGAGTAGTTATAACAGAGATCACATGGCTTGCCCAGACTAAATACTATCTGGCCCCTTACAAAGTTTACCGGCCCCTGTTCTGTATCTCAGATGGAAAACTAAGCCTTTTCTACCTGGGAGTCTTTGCACATCCTGATTGAACAGCCCAGGATGACCTTCACACATTGTTCCATGACTGCTTTCTTTATCACTCAGGTCTCAGCTTCAGTGTCAACTCCTCAGTGTGATTCCTGTCCAACCAGTCTGGAATGGCCCTTTCAACTACCCTAGTCACTTACCTATTATGGGGGGAGGGGGGAAAAAAAGGTCATTTTTTTCCCTAAGATTCCCAGGGCCTTGTGCATGCTAGGCAAGTGTTCTACCACTGACTGAGCCTGGTACTTAAAAAATATATAGGTGAGAAGTCTACCCCTGAGCCACAACCCTAGCCTATGGAGTAGGGATCTTAACTAAAATGTACATTTAAAATTAGCCAGTTGGATTTAGTTTAGATGATTCCAGTTTTGTTGGCAATATTTCAAATATCCTAACCAGGAGCCAGCTGAACATATTTCTTTTTCCATCAGGCCTAATCTGGGTATTGATCTTGGTTGGTAATATCAATGTCATAAAACTTTTTCATAGGCTGATTAATCTCATGCTGTTGGCCTTGATACTCAAAACACACACAAGCATGTTATCATCTTCCATCTTCTTCATGGCAGACTCAGTGGTTAGAGGAACTTAATAACAGCATAGTGGTTGAGCTTGCCTGGGGTATCTGGGCTGCCTCTGGAGCCAGAGTGTCACAGATAACGTATGCCTTTCCTCACTACCTTCTTCACTTTTGGTGCCATCTTGGTAAAAAGGTTCCAATACCATGGTACAGACTATTAATTACATACTAGTTTCATTCTCTCTCATTAGAATATAAGCTTTAGGAGAGATCTTAAATTGCTCACCCAACCATCATTTTAATCAGCATAATAAGCTTAGCACCAAAATAATGCCCAGCATTGTTTTTGAATGAGAATGAAAAAGTATATGCTAAACATATGAGGTCAAGGTCAGGGAAACTATGCCAGTTCAAAGGAGATTTCAAAGGTCAGTTCCAACATAGCAGACTTACTTTAACACTGGCCTGACCTCATCATAAAAGGCCAGAGATTAATCATTATTCCTGGCTCTATTATGGGGAAAACAACTCTACCGAGAGCATATTCTCCTGAATGTGGGTCCAACTTGCCCTTATTAGGTAAGGACAACACTGGGAAAACTAGGCAAGGTCAGATGACAAGACTAATAAAAAAAAGTTCTCAACTTTATTATGGTTAAGAATTTTATTATCAAAATTATTACATCTCTTGTGAAAGTTCAAATGTTACAGCAAGGTGTAAACACTCCACTTGAGAAAGAAGTGAAACTTCTTCCCTTCCAAGAGTTCCCCCCACCCCCCGCCCCCACCCCCCCTAGAGGTCTGGTCTTGACAGCACCCTGCCCACACAGAGTGGCTGGGGTCTCTGCACGTGCCAGGCAGGGTGAGGGCCGCCTGCCCGCTGGCCTCTCCCCTTGGTTAATAGCCAAGGGGAGAATGCAAACCCCAGCCCAAATGGAGAGACATTTACATACGTTTTATATAATATACAAAGAAACCGGCATCCCAGGCAACATGATTTCCACTCCCAACTCTCTCCCAGACTGATGGGTTTGTGGGGGAAACAACAAAAAGAAAAGTACTCTGCTTAAGTTTCAGCATTGGGAAAAAAAAAAAAAAATCTCCCCTCATTTGAGCAAACACCTGATTTCAAATTTTGAAAAGTGAAATTTTGTAACAGTCACACACAAAGAGAGAAGACTGTGCATATGATAGTTGTAGGACAGGATAGAAAAGAAAGGGATGCAAGAGGCTGGTTAAAAAAAGGTGAAAACAAATTAGAGGGAAGGAGGGAGACTCACAGTATTATCTTGTCCAAAAGAAAAGAAGTAAGGTCCACTGCAGCACCAGGGATCACACCTGTCATATACTCACTACCCCTACCATGGTTATAACTGAATACAAAATTAGATAAATAAAAACACGCCGGATATTACAGTAAACAAGTGAAAGAAATAAGCTGGCAACCGTATGGAATTTTAAAAGATTGTGTACCCCACCTGGGCTGGCTCCAGGGCTCCTCCAGGGGTGTACAACAGGCACAATGCACTGATGGGGAGAAGCCAGTCTGCTCTCGTCTCATCCAGAACAGTGTTAGGGGTGTGGGTGGCTTGCTAACTCCCTCACCGGCCCACTCTCACATAAGCATCCCCCAAAGAAACGTGGGGCAGGCCCACACACAATCACAGTCCTGTCGGTGCCACTCCACAAACCTATCTTCCCATTCTTACCCTGCAAGTCACAAGTGCATGCTCCCCAATCATGGAGGCGGTCCTGCTCATGGGATCGTCAACTCCTGATTAGTTGGGAGTAGAAAAAAATAAAATTCAAAGAAATCCCAGACCACTTGGGATCCTTCCTAATCAAATCTATTGCCAAAAGCTGTTAAGTAGCAATGCAATTGGCCCATCTCACTTCTCATTCCACTTCTGTCTACTTACTCCATGGGTTACTAAGCTGTGTAACAGCTTGGGAAGGAGGAATAGAAGATTGTCGGCTCCCAAATAATCAAGAGCTGATCACAAGCTCATCTTCAGAGAGCCAAGCATCCCTCAGTTGGAGCAAGATCCAAGCTTTATTATCCCTGCCTATTTCCTGGTGATTTAAGACAAAGGTAGGGAGTACACCTTGGCCAGATATCTGCTTTTGGAATGGTTGTCTTAGGGATAACATTTACATACCTACCTTTATTCTTAAGTGCATAAAACCCTAACACTATTCAGATGGCTTGGGGCTTTGAGATTGGCTCTTTTCACTTTTTTTCCTTTGAAACAAAAACTTTTTTTTTTTTTTTTTTTATTATTTAAAAAGATGTCCTCACTGCACAAGTGACTACAGGCTACAGGCAAGGATGGGAGACAGAGGCTTCAACACAACTCATTGCACTTAGAACCGTTACTAACCAAAACACCATTTGCTTGTCAACAATGTACCCTTAACAGCAGGGAGAAACTTCTTTATAGTCTCTGCTTCAGACAAGATTTACATCTTTCTCCAAGGCCAGAGGCCAGTTGGGACCACAAGTCTTGTTTCTTGTCGACCAGACCCAATCCTCTGGCATCTTGTAACCCCCTCCTCCAGCAATATGCTCGGCCCAGGATCCAGAGGCAGCTGGAAGGAAGCAGCTATGGGCTTGTTCAGTTCTGTTTGCCCATGTCCAGAAGCCCTAGGAAAGTCCTGTCTGAGTCTTGACTCCTGACCCTTGCAGTGGCTGGAGTCGGTACTGGTGCACACTCCCACTCCCACGGTGTGGGTAATGCTGTGAATTGGAAACCGCAGATACCCTGGAGGCCTGGTAGGCAGCGGACTGCCCAGCACTGGGCAGACTGATAGTCCGTAAGTCTGATGGCAATGACGACCTAGAGTTCTGAGGAAAGGAGGTGGAACTCAGAGTTCCTGTGCTGGACTGAGAAACCGAGTCTGAGGTTGGTGAGTCTGAGGGGCCCTGTGGGGTAGGGCTAGCAGCACTAGAAGGACAGCTCCTCCTGGGAAGATTGCTGCTAGTGCTGTTTCCAGAATGTGGCTGGCTGCTATAATACCCTGGTGTCCCTGTAAATGGGGCCAACGAGTCTGTGGACACAGGGTGGGCAGGGCTGGGATAGGACGCAGAAGAGAGGGATGATTCAGAAGAACCGTGAGAAGGGGGGTTTCCAGGTCTCAGTGCAGTAGTTCGATAACTGTATCCTGGAGATTGGGTGGGATGTCCTCTAAAGGGAGAGGAACTCTGTTGAAGGAGACTTTGTGATTCTGTCCGTGGACTATCACACTGCAGGAGCTAGAAAGAGTTTGGAAGAAAGCATAAGGAAGTGAACAAGTCTCTTCAATGGCTTGTGATCTTCACATTTATAACTTTTTTTTTTTTTTTGGATACTAAAGGCAGCCAACTCATTGTCTCTGATCACCTTATTTACTTTTGTGGTATGATTTATACTTGAGGGAAGGCAAACGACAACTTACTTCCAAGCCTGCTGAGACAATGCCAACACGAGCATCTCCTGTACAGGATGGCTTGGATCACAAAACATTCAGAAATGAGAATATATTCTTCTACCCAGAGATCAGCACTTTCTCAACTTACCTGGTAGCTGTATCTGGAAGGGCTGTAAACAGTTGCTCCTTTAGAGAGCGCTGAGCTCAATGTCTCTGAGCCTTCTCCATCTGCAGGGTCTAGAAGGTATTATAAAATCAACTTGGCTTCTCAGAGCAAGAGAGAAAACAGCCAAATCACCAATGCCATCACCAACCCATGCTGCTCTCTATGACAAACTGAGTGAGTGCAGCATGCCAGAAGGGCAAAAGGAGTGGTTAATTATGGGCTATGTTTTAAATGCCTGATCTGATTCCCGTCTCCTTCCTTCTCTTCATCCTTCATCGAGGTGGAGCTCCAGGAATTTGGAGAGATGAGAGTTACAGAAAGGTATCCCTTGGGAAAAAAGAGCAGACAGAGAGCAAGCAATGCTAGACCTTACAAAATGATGTAGGCCCAAAGAGCAAGACTGAGCTGGAGCCTAGCAAATAGCAGAACCCAAGTGTGCCAGAAACTGACTCACCTCACCCTAGCATTTGGCATAAACCGTGAAGAGCCTGGCTTATGTGTCCCTCAACCTGACTGACAGAAGGCGGTCATAGACTCACCTGAATCTTTCTCAGTGATGTTACTCTCCCACGTGGGAGAGGGTTCTCCCTTTTGGGCCACCCTCACACTGCTTCGGAGGACCTTAGGGATGCTCCCTCCTTCTCGAAGTCTTTCTACTGACGTGGGAACCATCCTGCAAAGGTGAGAGGGACAAGTTTAAGCCAGAAGACTTATGAGTCAAAGAGTCTAAAACAAATGAAGCTCTCACATAGGCTGTACAATATATTCTCTCAAAAGAAAAATCACTTTTAAGGATGAAGAAATAAAGGGAAAAAATGAGTTAAAGATATCAACTTTTTAAGTCCCCATTTTGAAATGCTAAATTTTCTCCTCTATGAAATTATGTACCTGACTGCGAAGTAGCAGTTTAATAAAGGGTTTCTTAATGAACATAATCATTTGAGCCATGTTTCTTCTTTCTCAGACTCAGTTTAAGATGTCTGTGTTTCATTCTCTATTTTACTCTTTTGATACTCAGATCTTGTCACCAGTATTATTTACTTTTTTCTCCCATTTTCCCCATATTAGGGATTGAACTCTGGTGCTGCACCACTGAGCTACATCCCCAGCACCATCCTTTTAATTTTTTATTTTGAAATAGGATCTCACTAAGTTGTCCAGGCTAGCCTTGAACTCCTGCTTTAGACTCCCAAGTAGCCAGATTTGTTAAGTGTTTGTCACCACACCCAGCTTACTTCCTTTTCTAGTGGTCTCCCCTAAACCAGATAAGTTCTTTTAGAATGTTTTGTTATTCTGAATATGTTAGTTGCATGGAACAGAAATATCTGTTGCTAATTCAAATGGAACTTGGCTGGACTCCTGACTTACCTTTTACGTGAACTGAGAAAATAGGAGAGGCAGTGTTAATGCCCACCAAACAAAATAGTTTATGGGCATCCATAGCTGTATGTTGTCTAAGAGTGCTACTCTATAGATTTGCTGGTAATTCTTTGCTTTTGTATGGCTAGAAATGTAGCTAATACTATTAAATCAGCTGAGGAGGACAGATAGCACTCTTAGACAGCTGTGCTATTAGAGAAAGTGCTCCCAAATATCAAACATCAAATTGGGAATGATCCTAGAGGTATACTTCCCTCCTGAATTTAACTATAAAGCATCAAATATAAACTTACCACCTACTACTGATATTTTCTTGAGGTCTGCAGTGAGATGAAGTGCCTCTGGAATCCGATGGGCTTACTGCCTCCAAATGGGACATTGAGGAATGAGATGGGGAGAATTTTTTATGAGGGGATGACGGGGTTCGGGCTGAGGATCCCTGCACACTATGGGCACCAGTGTCAGAAACAGAGTTACTGTTGCTCTGCCCAGCTCCTGCAGACTTGCTTTTGCTCTGTGCAGAGTCTCCTCCCCCACCAGCAGAATTCTCCTTGGCTTCTTGTTTCCGTTTACGGTACTCCAGCAGGGATACCTAGAAAGAAAAAAAAAGAAACAGTACATTAGCTGGATATCATTAGTGGAGTACTAGCAACGGGGAAAGAAGATGGAACCCCAACAAACCATTGGTCAAGCTGTGCAAATAAAGCAGGTACCAAACATGACAACTTTTTCTAGGTGTGATAGTTCTGAGCAGTTACAAATTTGAGACAGAAATCAGTAAATGGAAGAGAACAGTCTAGGAGATGCCATTTTTGAATAACAATATTCACCAAGCAGACTGCAACCCTTTTCAGGAAAACCTGTTAGATTACCATTACACATCACAGAAGTGTGTTATAGTTATTTGCATCTATGGGAATACTTAGAAAAGGGAACGCTTGTATAATTACAGAAAGTCTCCCCAGGTGATTTTTTTTGGGGGTGCTAGGAGTTGAATCCAGAACCTCGCACATACCAGATAAACACTCTAGTGAGCTACATTTCCAGTCTTTTATTTTTTATTTTGAGACAGGGTCTTGCTAAGTTGCTGAGGCTGGCCTGGAACTTGTGATCCTCTGGCTTCAATCTACAGGGTTCGCTTGGGATTATAGGCCTGTGCCACCACATCAGCTGCTTAGCCCTTTTTAAATACTAGTTTGAGGCAGGGTCTCGCTAAGTTGCCCAGGATAGCCTCAAATTTGGGATTCTCCTGCCTCAGATTCTAAAGTAGGTGGTATTATAGGTATGTGCTTTCCAGGACTCCGGCCTTCCAGGAGATTTTGATGGCTATTGTTCACTGACTACAAATCTAAGGAGGTAGGTATTAAAGAAAAAAGAAAGCCAATGTTCTGAGGTTTTAAATATGCTCTTATTTTTCAAGACATAGAGATTTAGTATTATTTTTCTTATACAGACACTAAAATCAAAAGAGAAGAAATTACTAGTTTATAATTTAGCCAAGTTACCTCTAGAAAACCTATACCTACCTGGAAACTTCCCCAGTGCCTCCATCACCTGCCTCACTCATTCTTTGTTTCTTAAAAAACAAAACAAAACAAACTATCTATCTATCTATCTCCTTTATTTTATGTATTTATCTTTATGTGGTGCTGAGGATTGAACATTGAACCCAAGGCCTCACACATGCCAGGCAAGCACTGTACCAGTGAGTCACAACCCCAGCCCACTCATTATTTCTTGACTGCCACAACAGACCCTATTTCCTGCCTCCCTGGCACATGCCTCTTTGCTGATGCACCACACCTGCTTATGTCGCATGCTATACAATGTCTTGCTAATTCCTGAATAAACTGTAAGTTGTATGAGGGCAGAGACCAAGTTTATTTGGCTGTTAGAAACAAATCCCCCCAACAAACAACAATAAAAAAACCTCCAAACTGCACAAAAACTTGGTATACTTCACTTGCCCAATATATTTTCAGAAATTATTCTGAATAATAATTTCAATCACCTTTGTGCATAATAAATAAATGAAACTAGAAATTCAGGTTATTTTTGTTTCTGGTAGTCAGCACTATTCATGCCAGTCTTTGAAACCCATTACTCTCTTATTCAAAATTACCTGCTTGAATTTCCTACTCCTTCTATCCCCTAAGGGTTCTCATTTTTCTGTCCAACTGTACAAATATTGACAGTAAAGATAATTGTTTACATGCATTTCTATACATAATCTTGGAAAGAAGCCAGTTATAATAAATTCTGGTAATGCATTATCACTGTAATAAAAATACAAGAAGCCACTAAGTTCGCAACAAGCATGTATTTTTGCCACACAGAAAATTCGGCACCATTATCCCTGAACAATAAATGCAAGTCACTGTGTAAACCACAAAGTACTCCCATGCATTTTCAAATGCCCATAGTTGAGAACCACTGATACAAAAAGTACACTTTAGGTTTTGTGATTTCTAGAACAGGTATTATGTATAATAAGCTCTCCTGGCCCTGCTAATCTCTTTGGGCGCTCTTACTTTTTACCTGACACTGTAACCACATTGAACTGTTTGTACCACAATGCACCCCCGCTGCTGACCTAGTGGAGTGTCACAGATTTACTTGCTCTGCTCATTCTACTACAATATCTTCACCCTCATTTGTTGGCTACCTGACTCTTGCTTCCTGTTCGAGATTCAACCAAAGCAATAACTGCAATTTCTCACTCTACCTCTATCCCTTAAACAGGCTAAAGACCTCATGTCTATTTTCAAAGTACTTTCTACCTATCAGACTAGGCCAAGTTCCCCAGCTATCGTGCTCTTACCACATGTGAATAATTCCTTTGGAGCATCCATCTCACTATTAATGTAATTATCTCTAAAGCTCACTCTCACTTTCTATAAGCAATTAGGGGAGAATCTAGGTAATCTAGCAAGGTAGAAATATAAGCATGCAATCTGGAATTAGACAGTGTCCTGATTTTTCCATTGCTATGAGTGACCATGGGCTAGTTTTTCAAGTTGCCTTAGTTTCTTTATCTGCAAAATGGGAAATCACCTATCTCACAGGACATGGTTAGGATAAAATGAATGTAAATTGCTTATCACAGTGTCAAAAACCTGGGAAGTGCTGAATAATTTAAGTTTTTTCCTTTTCACTGTGTTAGCCTTTCAACTGTCTAGCAAATATACGGCACATAACAGGTATTTAAATTTGTTGGATATTTATTATTATATTTTGTGCTGGGGCTGGAACCTGGGTCCTCATGCATGTCAGCCAAGTGCTCTATCACCAAACTACGTCACCAGCCCTGAATATTTACAATACTCACCAAAATATACTAAACTGACTTTCACTAGGCATGATAGAGACTAGGTTTTACTTATATGAGAAGCCTGAGCACCTGGAACTTGGTAAATATCCACCAAATTATTCGATTAATGGTCTTGGGGAGTGGGGGGCTCTGTAACATGAAAGACTTACCTTTTTCCTTTGTGGTGGGTTCTGGGGGGCAGATGGGACCCCTTCACAGGTCCTTTCACCACCAGGTGACAGGGATCCACGAGAAAGGTCTTTCATAAAGCCATGTTCATATCTGCTGGGGAACCCTTCCGCTGGGGAACAATATCCCCCATCCAAATGTAAAGGCTTCCTATCCCCTACTAGGGGAGACCCTCTATATAATCCATCTGCTCGAGGCATAGCATTCAAAGGGGAGTAGGCATACATCAAATTGAACTCTGTCCGAAATGCCTGGTCCGAGTTTCTCAGGAGGGTCTGATGTCCATCTCCACTTCTGCTTGGGAAGCCAGTCTCTGAGGTGGGCCCAATGGAGGGATGAGGAGCCAGGTCAGAATGACCTGAGTTGAGCAGGGAAGGTCTGTCAGCACAGTTGTTAGTGTTGGAATCAAGGTATCCTACTTTTGTCAAATCCAGGTCTTTTCGGTGACAGAGCTGAAAGAATAAAAATCAACGGAGACATAGGGTAGGGGAGAAAGGAAAAAGTCAAAGGGTAGAAAGGGAGGTGAGAGGGGCAAAGGTGAACAAGGAAAGAAAAGAGGGATGGAAGTAGAGGAGAGAAAGCCATTAACATTGGTGAAAGTTCCACAAAGCAATAGATACAGGCCAGTTTACTAAAGAATCCTGGCCTTTCCCAAAATGCTTTAAAGTCTTTCTGGATGAGAATACTGGGAAAGTTAGAATTAGGTAACTGGCCAAATGTGTCTATTTTGCCTGCTTAGCCTTTCATCAGGTTTGCTGAGTCATTGTGCACTATACTATAAGGGACTGGTGGTATAATTTGGAATATACCTGAGCCCCATGCAAACTACAGAGGTACCTTAAGATTAACTGGCTTTTGGTGTTATTAATTTTTACTATTGATGGAAGGTGGGTGTAGGGAAAAAGGTGGAGAAAAGTAGAAGGTAGACAGAAAGGCAAGTATTTAAGCTACTGGTTCAGTAAAGGAGAATGGCATAAAAGACATCAACCAACCAGTTCTTCATTCACTTTCACTGTTAAATAAGCGTTTCTCATCTCATACAACTTCTTGACCACTCAATTCTTTCTTTCCTCTAATGTATGCCAAACATATCACAAGATCACTGGTGTTCAACATTGCAGAGCATGTGAAATGCTGAAATGTACCAAAAATAAACTTCACCTTCAATTTGGTTATCATTAGCTCTAACACCAAGATTTTCCACCACTAGGCCAACTGTAGCTTAACTGTCTACAAAGCATGGTATCAAAACCCCAAATGCCACACCATGTCAGTCTCCAAATTATATTAACTTAGAATTTTTAACAACCAGCTGAGGAGAAAGTGAGTGAGCTGTATTTTCCTAACAAGATAGTTAAAATACCTGCTACATTAGTAGAACACAACCCTTTTCCAGTTTCATACTGATTTTATAAAATCTGACAGATGCAGAGTTTGGCTAACTCTCATGGACTTTAGCCCTAATTTTTAGATTGGAAGTGAGTGGGGTTAAAGTTTCAGTAGATTCTGAGGTTATGAGACTTTCTCTTTAAGAGGAAAAAGTTTCCATGTAGACTCATGGGGTTAATGATGATTACATTAAGCCAAACCTTACAATAAAAACTCTAGCACTAAAATCTGATTTTGGCATTTCCATAGCATTAAGGTTTCTTTTTTTTTTTTTAAAATATTTATTTATTTATTTATTTTAGTTTTAGGCGGACACAACATCTTTGTTTGTATGTGGTGCTGAGGATCGAGCCCGGGCCGCACGCGCACGCCAGGCGAGCGCTCTACCACTTGAGCCACATCCCCAGCCCCAGCATTAAGGTTTCTGAAAAACACACTCAACTGACATTCTAAGAGATACCACTTGTACAGCAACTATATCCCAACCACTGCAGAATGGAGGGAGGCCTATGACACAGAAGCCATGGACTCAGTTTCCTTACACACCCATTAAGAAGCTATAGAGAAGATTTAAGAAAGCTGTGAGACAGAATAACTTTCCTAAGGAAGCTTCTTTAATCTATCAACCACAGCCCCAAACGTCTGGTTACATAGAGCTGTCAGATTAACCCTGGAACAAGGCATAAGTCACTGTCCAACTCTTCCAATATACACTGCCTAAGAAAATAAATATTAAAAGACAGCTCCTACCAACTTTCCTTATTTGTTAACAAAGAGACCTTATTTATTAATGACTTTAACAAGGCTCTTATCACATACTCAGCATCCATTAAACTTCTAATTCTGTTCTTCTTTAATAGAATTCTTCAGCCACCCCCTCCCCCAAACAACAAAGATCAACCCCATCACATACACATAGCTGCTTAAATTTTCCTCCATCTACATGAACAATCCTGTGTAGTCACAGTCACACAGGAAGAAAGATTCATTCAACTTGCTGTGACTGATTGGCCGCCCTCCAGCCCATCTCCCCATTCACTCAGACCCCCAGCCCTCCCCATACACTCAGGAACACACTCATGCACACTCACTCTCAGCCTCCAAGTGTGATTGAGATGGTGTGATAACTACCTCGGGTGACAGGGACTCGGGCCTATGCGCAGGGGAACTCTCAGGGGAGGATATGTTCTAGAGGAGGGAAAAGCATCTTGTTATTCATCTACTCCAAGTCAAGAAGCAAAACAAAACAAACAAAAAATAAAGCAAGCATAGATGTTAGCCACAACTTGGGGAGGAGGGGAGGTGTTGGATAAGAATGCACCGGGGAAATGTTTAACTGCAGAATTCATCTAAATGGATAGAATGACTTATTAAAATGCTTCCTGGGGTCTTCGAAAGCATTTAAGGAAAAACTGGTTATAATGTTTCATGCTGTAAGTAAACACCTCAAGCATACTATCAGGAAAGAGTTAGGTGAAATTTTACAGGGTTATATATTTCTTTGTATCAGAAGAAAGTTTAGCAACCTTTAGTACTTGTTATTGAAGGCATCCTACTCCCTATTCCTTCTTAGAGGAACCTTGTTCATACACCCACATCCCTTCTGATCATCCCATTCCTTCATTGACTTATATGTCTCAGGCCACCATGGTTATCCAGGGGAACATCTTAGCACACTGGGGACTAACAAGGACTGGTCAGTTTCTCTTGAATGAGAGCCCAAGGAAGTGTGAGTGATGAAATCCCTAACTTACAAGCTGGATTTGGCTCTTGGCACAATCTAATTGGACCGGAGCACTTCTAACAATATTATCTTGGTTAGCATCCATTTTACTTCAGGGAACATAGCGAAAAAAGAAAAAAACATGCATGTTCACCTAGAATCTACACAGGGTAGCACTCTCACCTGAGGCAGCACTTGCCCAACAATAGGGACTAGGCAGTGGGCTCATGATAGGTAGATGTAAATGACATGTAAAGAAAGTAATGGTGCCGACTGTGACAAGGATTCAGAATGCAAGGGCTGAGGTGAGAAAAGGATTTCCCAACATTGTGGACTCTGGATAAGTGTGGCCCTGGTGGCTGACCTATGCTCTAGTGGGTAGGATTAATGATGTTGTTTTCAGCAGAGCAGGCTTTTAGCTGTGAATTTTATTCAGCGGAGGGTAGCTAGTATCTGTGTGGAGTATGGATCTAAGAGCAGAAAGAGAAGGGAAGGGTTATTCTAGTGGAAAAGAGAGGTGAATTAAGCTTGCCTTCCCAATGTTACTTTAATTTCTCTTTCTAGATGCTGTCCCCCACACCAGCCCACTACCTCAGCACTGGAGTTTCCTCACTTATCTCCTGAATATTCTTCCCTTTTCAAAAATATTTTCCCCCAAAGTAAGCTGTTTTTTTACTTGTAATATTTTTTTTTGATATTTCTTTATCATAGGTTTTCATGGACAAAAGGCTACTCATTTGTACTAGAATATACATAGAGTGTGGCCATTAGTATCGTAATAAGGATGGGTCAGGGAGGTAAAGTTTTTCTTTTTTCTCTTTAATATTTATTTTTCAGTTATAGATGGACACAGTGTCTTTATTTTATATTTATGTGGTGCTGAGGATCGAACCCATGCCTCACGCAAGCTAGGCGAGCGCTCTACCTCTGAGCCACAATTCCAGCCCCTTCTTCTTCTTCTTTTTTTTAAATGAGAAAGGCTAAATTTCCTTAGTTAAATCACAAGTTTACAACAGTGTAACCTTGCACTGGAATTTTTGCTATTTAATATTTTCTTTCCTTCCTGGTATTCTGCTTCATTAAAATGATTTTTGAGTTTTTAAAATTTTTAAATAAATAAAAACCCCTTGCGTTTGTATAGTGTTTCACAATTATTCAAAACAATATAAGGAATACAGAATGCACTGACTGCTTGTTTTGGAGGAAAACTTACTTTCTAATTTCTGTAATATCACTTATAATAATATAATTTGCCTTGATAAAGTATACTATTATATTCATATAATCTAATGGCCTCCAGAGAGAATTTTCTCTCATGATATATATATATATATATATATATATGTATATATTTAGTTATAGATGAACATAATGCCTTTGTTTATTTTTATGGGGTGCTGAGGATTTAAACCTAGTGCTTCACATGTGCTAGGTAAGCACTCTACCACTGAGTTATAACCCAAGCCCCTCTCATGATATCTTATTATAAAATTCAAATTGCTTAATGAAAAGTCAACTGCAAGTACATAAAATAAAATTAAAAAGTTTTGAATTTGCTGCCTTAATATTCCCTAACAAGAATACCATAAGGAATTTGATAAAGAGTAATTTTTCTAGAAAGGTCAAACACAAGCAGGAGTTTGGTTTTTTTTCCCACCAGAAGGAAGTTTTTTTTTTTTTTTAATCTTTATTTTTTAGTTGTAGTTGGACACAACACCTTTATTTCACTTGTTTATTTTTTTTATTTTTTTAGAATTTTAATATTTATTTTTTAGTTTTTTGGCAGACACAACATCTTTGTATGTGGTGCTGAGGATCGAACCCGGGCCGCACGCATGCCAGACGAGTGCGCTACCGCTTGAGCCACATCCTCAGCCCACTTGTTTATTTTTGTATGTGGTGCTCCACCTGCAAGGCGAGCACTCCACCACTGAGCCACAACCCCAGCTCCAGGAAGTTTTGTTCCAAAAGTAAGATATTATGATCTAAAGTAAGGTACAGAACAAAGCTGTGCTTTCAATGTTATTTTCTCCTTCTGAGTATACACAAAAATTCCAGCTATTTTTACTCTTTACTCTCTCAAAAAGGCTGAATAGGGAGGGTGGGATTGGTTAGAACATTTAATGATCAAAACAACCTCTAGAGAAGTGAAAGCTAAGTACGTTTAGTGGTCAGAAAAAGTTTTCTGAGAAGAAAAAGTGTCCATTTAATGTAATTACAGAAGAAAGCAACATGCAAAAGATGAGTTAAAAAAAAAAAAACAAACAAAAAACAAAAACGCATGGACTCTATTCAAACCTGCCACCCAAACTTGAATACTAAAATGATTCAGAATTACATTTTGAAACAGCTGAGGTATAGATTTCTAACTTAATCCAAAGAAGTGAATGTAACAAATTTGACTTTTATAAATGCATGTTGCTAGTCTTGTGTCCATTTTTCATTCCTAACGCATTGAAACAAGAAGGGAAAGTAACCTGGAGTGGAAAAAAACAAAAACAAAAAGACAATCGCCATAAGCCATTCTCCAATGCTTTCTAAATCTGCTCACTGAGGCTACAATGAAAATACCAAACAACCTGGCAAAGACACCTCACCCATTTACATGGAGACACAACCCATCAGTACAATCTAAGCTCTCAGGCTGCTGCTACTAATGGTTACTACAGGCACCTAGAAGCCTCTTTTGACCAAAGTATACAGTAAAGATGTAAAAAGATCCAGCATGCTAATACCTAAAGTTAAAGAGACTGAGGAACTGCATGCCAAAGAGAAATGAATGTGATCTGTGGTAGCACTCTTCCTATTCTGAGAAGTACAGGGGCTGCCAAGATGAGAGGCTACCAGGTTAACAGGCCACACTGACCCTGAGATTTTCCATTCTCTTGGTGAGATGGGGAAGGAAGACAGTAAAGAAACATTTGAAATGACATTATATTTGAAATGAAGAGGTACAAATGATGATTTTTCATATCTAGTACACCCCCAAAACCAAACCCAAATCACCTCAAACTGCAGAGGAGTGTTGCAGCGACTAGCAGTAGTAAGAGACGTGATTGGCGAGAACATGAGGCTGTATCCATTTCGACACTCCTCTTCTCCTGGGTAAGTCTGGCCAGGTGCGGTCAGTTGGGGGCTCTTTGAGCCTGAACTGGAAGGGGGTGGTGTGACCGGAGACAGAGGCCGAAGTAACTTGGTAACATTCTGCTCCATCAGATAGCGAGACTTCCATTTCTTTAATGGGCTCAACAAGTCTGTGAAATACAAAGCTCGAATGAGAGATGAACTGTAGCTTAATGGGAAGCTCTGTAGTCAAGCTATTAATCTCTGCCCTATAATGACTTGTACCTCTTTTGCCTCATCTCATTAAATTAACTCCTGCAATCAAACAAAAAATCCAGAGAAACTCTTAATTACAACTGCACTGAAAATAAGTCTTAAAGCACTCTCTCAGAGAAATTCAAATTATTCTGACAGTTCTTTCCTTTTGAAGACACTTAGGTCTGTTATGTTGCCCATGCTGTGCTGCCCACCATCCTGCTGCCTTAGCCTTCTAAGGAGCTGGGATTACAGATGTGGGCCACCACACCCAGCTCTGAATCTGACAATTCACATGACTGATACACAGAACTAATTTACTGTATCAGAGCAAAAGAGAAATTCTTCCTATCACACCAAGCTTTCAAAAATTTTAAATCTGTGTTACTTTGTTAAAATCACCTTCTACTTAACTGCCACATCACCAACTAAAACTATTGGCATGCCAAATTGCATATGCCGTTTACCTTTTCTTATGTATTTGTGCCCCCTTTCAATGGTTCTATAACATTTTGAGCAGAAAAGGCATACATGGTTCCTTGACATGGATCTAATCTCTAGTGAAAAATGTGTATTGATTTTTATAAATATTTCTCTCAACCATTAAAAAAAAAAAATCTAGATGTTACTCCTTTTCTCATTTGGCTAACCCCATTTTCTATACTTCTTCAGTCTACTTAAAAAGCAAATTACTACACTACATATGTCAATGACCTTTCAGGACAAAGCAGCCTACTTACTGGAAAATACATATTCCTAATTCTATTCATTGATTGATTTAACAATGGCCATGAATTTACTTAACACCTACTATATGCAAATCACTGATGCATAATGACACAGGTAAGAGGGGGAGATAGTCAAAACATATTCTATTTTCAGGAGCTTAAAAATTTGTAAGAGAAGCCGGGTGTGGTGGTGCATGCCTGTAATCCCAGCAGCTCCAGAGGCTAAGGCAGGAGGATTTTGAGTTCAAGGCCAGCCTCAGCAACTCAGTGAGACTAATAAAAATTATAAAACAGGGCTGGGGATGTGACTCAGTAGTTGAGTATCCTTGAGTTCAATCTCCTTTACCAAAAAAAAAAGTAAGAGAAAGCACATATAAAACATGCTTGATACGTTTGATGATACTGTTACGTGTTAAAAACAATAGTTAAAGTCAAGTGCGACAGTGTGTGCCTGTAGTCCTAGCTACTTGGGAGACGGAGAAAAATAATTGCTTGAACCTAGGAGTTCAACTCTAGCCTGGGCAAGTGTTGTGTGTGATTTTTACATACTAGGCACTGTTCTATGTGTTTTATGTGAAATATCTGATTTAATATTAACAAATCTATAAATCCAGTAGTATTGTCACCCCACGTTAAACAGGAGGACATTGCTGCATGTACGGAGATACGAGGTAATCTAGCTCCTGTCTTCATTTTATTATTTATTTATTTTTTTGTGGTGCTGGGGATTGAACCCAGGGCCTTGTGCATGCGAGGCAAGCACTCTACCAATTGAGCTGTATCCCCAGCCCTCCTGTCTACACTTTAATCACTATGTTGAATTACATCCGCAAAGCTTAGTGAAAGGAGTGAACCTATACCAGGACTTCAGGTAGAAGTTTTGGGTCAGCAGTTAATGATTAGAATAAAACTGGTAACTGGGAAACTATCTGGAGTTAAGAGGTGTAAGACACCAATTAGGGTAACCTATTTAAATGCAGAGAGAAGAATAAATGCAAAAATATTGGAGATGTTTATATTCTTTCTGGTATCTCAAAAATTTTTTTTATTTTCCTACACTGGAAGTATATTGATGTTTTCCTTTATTTTCCTCCTAGAAACTAAGTTTTCTCTCCTCTTTTAAAAAAAGTGCCTAGGTATTAGAAAAGGAAAAAACAAACATGTAACACAAGGATTACATTCAGAATAAGTTTTTAAATATTTCAAGAGACTTATATAATAAATAAATAAATAATAAAAAGACCTCTGTTCTGTTAGGTCCAACACTGGTAATTATTAAAGTCAAGTAAGTGAAGTGATAAAGTTCATTGTAGAAAAACTAGAAAATTTGGGTAAAAACTATTGCCTGCGAATCAGTCTACAGGAGACTCATTTAACATATTTACTGAATACTTATGACATTCTAATGTAAAAAACAGACCTGACATTTCCCTTTATGAAGTTTATAGGCCAGCAGTCTTTGATTACTTACTTTCCCTCCCTTTTTATTTCATTGCATAATAGTTGTTACCCCCCACCCCTTTTGTGGTGCTGGGGACTGAACCTAGAATCTTGTGTGTGCAAGGCAAGCACTCTACCAACTGAGTTATATCCCTAGCCCAGTTGTTAAACTTTATGTGGTCAAATCTATTTGTACTTTAATGTTTTCTAAAACTTCACTCAAGTACTTCTCAGGATTATTATATATGTAGGGCTGAGATTGTGCCTCAGCGGTAGAGTATTTGCCTGCCATGTGTGAAGCACTGGATTAGATCCTAGGCATCACATAAATATGAATAAAAAAATCTTTATTTTGTATTATGTCCATCTATAACTAAAATTTTAAATATATATATAAAACATTATATATGTAAAAATACATACAAAAGTTGAAATCATACTCACAAATTAATGCACTGCATTAAAACCTTCTTTCTTAACATGGTCTTAATGACTCCTGTGTTACTCACACTGCTTAATAATTACTTTTACTCAGAAATACATGGTAAAAACCTTGCTATGAAAAGAAATAAGTCTGTAATTCAGTTTTTTAAGGGCTGCATGGCATTAATATTACCAAAATTTTATCAGCTTAAGTACCTTTCATTATTTTGCTATTATAAATACACTTCAATGAACAAAAATTTGACTCCTACATATTTTCTGCACTTGTTTCATTGTTTTTTCTTTCTTTTTATTATGACAAATGGCTACATGAAGGATTTTTAAACCAAAAGAATGTTCACATATGTTTACTAAAATTGTATTTATTCTCTTTTAAAATATATTTTTTAGTTGTTGGGAGACCTTTATTTTATTTGTTTATATGTGGTACTGGAGAGTCGAATCTAGTGCCTCAAACATGCTAGGCAAGTGCTCTATCACTTAGTCACAACGCTGGCGCCTAAAATTATATTTATTCTTGTGAAAACTGCTTGCTCATGTACCTAAGCCTGCATTTCATTGGTCTTTTTCTTGACTTGTTACAGGCTCTCTAAATAATGATACTGATCCTTTGAAAAAAAATGTTTCAAATGCAGTTTCTTGATTTGCTGCCTGCTTTTAAATTTTATTTAAATATTGTCTTTGCTATGTAATGTTTTATGTTTTTACTTAGTCAAATGCATGAATCATTCATTTCTTTGATTTTCTGCCTCTGATAATCAGGAACATGTGTCTGACACCCCACCCCAAGACTATAAAAATACCAGCGGGTTTTCTCTTTATCTCCAGGTACAACTGTTTAACTTTCATTCAGGTTTATTTTCTAGTGTTCTCTCTTTTTAACTACTATGGACAGAATACGCTTCTCTATTTTTATGATCTCTAGTACTTTTTTTTTTAAGTTAATTCTCTTGGGATTTCTAGGCAGATGATCACATTACTTGTACATGACAACAACACATGCACCCTTTCTTTATCAGTACTTTTACCTGTTATTCTTTTTATTTTGAGTAGTCTCTTTGGCTAACAGTTCCAGGATATGTTAAATAATAACAGTGGGATAATTTGATAACCTACTTCAGGGCTTAAGTGGTTTTTACAATGAAGTTTATAATTGGCAACTGTTTTTACATAGATTAAAACCAAGCATGTTATTTTATTATTAAATTTGTAATAGCCAATGTGCCATTACTGTTCCTTCCCTATTTGATCAACAAATGAATTATATTAATAAATTCTCAAGTATTAAACTATGTTTACATTCCTAAGAGAAGTGGTCCCTAGGACATTTGGTCATCATATACTATTCTTTTAATACAGACTTAAGGTGCTAATTAAGATCACAAATCTAATTTAAAACTGTTACTATACTGTTTTGCCCTTTTTTTTTGAGAGAGAGAGAGAGAGAGAGAGAGAGAGAGAATTTTTTAATATTGTATTTTTTAGTTTTTGGGGAACACAATATCTTTTGTTTGTATGTGGTGCTGAGGATCGAACCTGGGCCACATGCATGCCAGGCGAGCGCGATACTGCTTGAGTCACATCCCCAGCCCTACTGTTTTGCTCTTTAAGTTAGTTCTATTGCTACATAATTTAAACTTTTAGAAATTTAAAGTCTTTTTTTTTTTTGGTATACTTTTTCAAAGTTGTATATGGGCACAATGCCTTTACTTCATTTATTTTTATGTGGTGCTGAGGATCAAATCCAGTGCCTCACATGTGTTAGGCAAGCACTCTACACACCGAGGTACAACTCTAGCCCGAGGAATTCAGAATCTTTAATGTAACTAGTATTCATGTTTGAAGAAAGAATACTCTGTGTAGAGTAACAATTATGGATCTGATACTGTCTTGAGCATTTTATGTGCTATTCAATCTCATATTAGCCCCATAAAGCAAATATCATTCTCATTTTACAGATGAAGCTTAGAAATACTTAGTAACAACATATAGTTGGTAAAGGACACTACTGATTCTCAAATACAGGTCTATTTGATTCTTTTCACTATATTGATATGTCTCCCTTATTAACGTCTCTTTGGTATTTTTTTTTTTAAGTTTCTTTTAGACAGACACAGTACCTTTATTTTATTTATATGTTTTTATGTGATGCTGAGGATCGTACCCAGTGCCTCACACATGTAAGGCAAATGCTCTACCAACTGAGCTACAACCCCAGCCTCTCTTTGGTATTCTTGAAAATAACAACAAAAAAACCTCTAACAAATATTTCCTCAATATTTATACTAACTTTTAGCAATAAGTCACTCAGGGGCGTCTAACCATTGAGCCACAACCCCAGTCCTTTTTTTGAATTTTATTTAGACACAGTTGCTTATGGCTTTGTTCAATTGATGAGGCTGGCTTTGAACTTGCAATCCTCTTGCTTCAGCCTCCCAAGCCCCTGGGATTATAGGCATGCACCACCATGCTTGGCCTAGTGCTTAATTTATAAATTTTTTCCTTATGTTTGTTAATTTTAAGTGAATCCTCTCACTGTTTGTTACAGACTAGAGCAAAAGCTCAAAAAATGCATTGATAACTAACAGTCTTAATTCCCCACTAAATAGGGCATGTAGAAACATGTACTTTCTAGTTTTCAAGGCACTTTTCCTTTAAGTCTCTGCCAAGTAAGGACATGAAGTGCGGTATAATCTCCTTTTCTAATCTTACTTATACACCTACATAATACACAGCAGACACACATACACACACACACATAGACCATCTCACCTAAATTACTCTAACTAAACTTCAAAAGCTGCCAGTAGCTGGGCATGGTGGCGCATGCCTGTAATTCCAGAGGCTTGGGAGGGTGAGGCAGGAGGATTGTGAGTTCAAAGCCAGCCTCCCCAAAAGTGAGGTGCTAAGTAACTCAGGGAGATCCTCTCTCTAAATAAAACTAGAGATGGGGATGTGGCTCAATGGCTGAGTGCTCCTGAGTTCAATCCTTGGTACCCACCCCCTGAAAAAAACCTGCCAGTAAATTGATAATACTGATGGAAATCTGCCAATGATTTCTTTATATTAATATTATTTATGTCACACATGAATTAATTCATAATTTACAAGGTATAATCCAATCTATGGAGAGAAGAATAAACTAAGTCAATAATTTAAAAAGTGGTGGCCCAGTTTTTCAACCCTAAATTAAAAAATCCAAATAAAAGCATTTTTTTTTTTTTGGTGGTTGTGGGGGTGATGGGGTACTCAGAATTGAATCCATGAATGTTTTACCACTGAGGTACAACCCCGGTCCTTTTAAAATTTATTTTGTGACAGCGTCTTGCTAAGTTGCTGTGGCTGGTCTCAAATTTTTGATCCTTCTGCCTCAGCCTCCTGAGCTGCTGGGATTACAGGAGCATACCACTGTGCCCAGCTAAAAGCAGAGTTTTAATATAAAGCAAATGTTACTAGTAAAAGTTTATTTAACTGAATTCAAGTTTATAATTATCTAACAAGTTTATGAATATAAAAAAGATTTTTATAAAAATCTGAAATATTATCTTGTGAGCTATAGCTTTATATAAGCTTGAAAATCTAATTTATTTTGGTATTTTAACTGAGTAACATTCAGAAAACGGATGTAGAGATAAACTTATGGAAATAACACAGAAATTTCCCCTTTTGTGTTGGTGCCAGGTAATGGCAAAGGTTAAAAGCACACACTGTTAACACTGAAATACACCCCGGACCTGAAATATTTTTTCAGTTGACATGAACAGGAGAAACTTTGTTAAAAAGACTGTACTAAATAAGTTAACATGTCACCACAAGTTAATATACGAGTGCTTTCAAAGAGAACCCCTTCAAGAGTCACTGTGAAAACCAGTGGTGGAATTTTCATAGCCATATTGTTCAAAAACTCATAAGGAGCTTAAGTTGAATTTAAAGCCATGTCTTCTTAAATATTTTATACTAATTATACAAGTTCACTTGAAAACAACCAATTAATAACAATTTCTTATATTTATTTCATTAATCCTCTGCCCCTCAACCATGCCCCCAACTCAAACACTTACAATTTTTCCCTGAATATTAGTATTTCACTTTCTTGACTCCCCCCCCTTATAAATATGAATATATACTCCTAAACTTACTACTTTAAATGTATCTAACCTTTTTTATAACCATTTCTGCTGTTATCTGTATACTGTCTAGTTCCTTCTTTGTCGTCCTTGGAAAACTGATCCCTGACTTGAGATCTCTCTCTTCCTCTGTAAAGACAGATGTAAAGTAACTATTTAGAGAACATGCTATTTCTTTTTTTATATCAGAGTACGAATTCTGAAATTTTTAATGTGGACCTCAAATAACGATTGATCATGTATTTAGAAAGGTTTTAGATACATACCTGCATTGTCTTTGCAGATATTAGAATTACTATTCTCATTACTTTGGTATAGTTGCTGCGTTCTAGTCTCTTGGGGTACAGGTGTTTGAGTCATCCCTTCTTCCAAGGCTTGCTTTATCCAGCGCTATAAGGGGGGAAAATCAGAGAATTATCAATAACACCTTAAAACTTTTCAGTACTTATTTTAAACACACTAAACTGGGTCATTTTACATCAAGTGCTGGGAGAGGCAATCCAACACATTCATTCAATAACATGTCAAATCTCAATCTCCAAAATAAGTTTTGTATTTCACTGTATTAGAATACTACCCGATCAATTCCTCTACCAGAAGAAATTAAGGGGGGAAAAAAAATACAAGTAAAAACTCCAACTATCATACTGCTTAAGACAGGGTAAATGGGGAGAAATAAGGAAGAAATCTTAACATTTATTTAAGAGACTGGTCAGGTCATACAGAACAAAACTAGTACAGAAATACGTGCCTAGAAAGAAGATAAAGTTTGATCTCTTATGAGTTGTCTGCTCTATGCTGGGACATCTGAAGAGATAAAAGATTCACAGGAGGACTTTGGATGAGAATAAATAGCTCTTTACTACACACCAAAAGACTTACTCAGAAGTGGAATAACCTATGAGCTTCCCCCAATCAACTAGTTTGGTTAAATTATGCAGGAATAATGCAAATCACCAGAAAAATCAAGTCAAAAAGAAGACCTCTCTAATAAGTTACTTTCTTTGGTAGTGAATATTGGAATCTAAATTGATGAGAAATAAATTTAGGTCAGACTGTAAGCCTACAAAAATTAGGATAGTAAGAATTTATATCCTGTGGAAGAGAGAACATATATTACCTATAATGTATCTCTTAAGATACATAGTTGTAGGTTCCTCACTGTTCTGTGGTTCCCCTCCCCCGACAGAAGACAGATTGAGTTTTGACAAACATCATTTTCTAAGTTAGACTCTCCCTCAAATGGGAAGAGTAAAGGTGAATAAATTTCACACCTTTAAAGAACATGTATTACAGATAAGCAAATATTCTTTCCACCAAAGAGAACAATTCTGATAGATTTTCCCTTTAGAAACTTATGATGTAAATGTCACTGTGGTCTGCCAAATGAAAACAAAAATAAAATTGTGAACATGAGCAGATGGGAGTGAATCAATATATAGAGGAGACAGGAGTGAATGAATATATAAGAGACTCAAGGGTCATCTGAATTTCATTAATATTCTAGGATATGACCAGATCACTGAAAAGACAAGACCAAAAACTCCCTTACATACAGAATACCTTTAGAGCTGAAAAGAGATCTTAGAGTCATCCTGTCTAAAGCATTCATTTAACAGAGGAGAAAATTTGACTTGGGAAGACGTGAGTGAAAAATCCTTTGTCCTAGATACCCTTAGTACAAGTTTTTTTTTTTCCTCAGAGAAGATGACAGCACTCATTTGGTGGTTCCTGAGCTTTCCTCTAGAAGTTAATTTTTTATAGTGTCAAGTAGATGTACCCACAAAAAAATTTTACATTCTGGATCTGATGACCACAAAAATGGAACATTAAAGAAAAACAGGGGTATTCTAGGAATAAGATGCTACCACAATTGATAAGGTTAAACATAGCAAATACGATCAAACCTATTCTCTTCCTTGGCCTGTTGAAGATTCTTTTTTTTTTTTTTTTTTAAATTTTTGTTTGTAGTTGTAGATGAACAGAATGTCTTTCTTTTATTTGTTTATTTTTATGTGATGCTGAGGATCAAATCCAGTGCCTCACCCATGCTAGGCAAGTGCTCAGCTGCTGAGCTACAGTCCCCCTGCCCTTATTGAAGATTCTTATAGTATTTCAGGACAAGTATAAAAAAGAAACATGAAAACACTTCTTTGAATCTAACAAGCTACAAAAACACTTCTTTGAATCTAACAAGCTCCAATCACCCCTATTAATTTTAGAACCCCCCCCCCCCAACTTCTATTTGGTTACTAAAGAACATTTCTCCTTTCTCTGAAACTATATTAAGGAGAAAAGTTTGAGGATCAAACCCAGTGCCTCACCCATGCTAGGTATGTGCTCTACCACTGAGCTACAACTCCAGCCTGAAAAAATGTTTTTTTTTTTTTTTTTTGAAAAGTCAAAGATAGGTGAGAAAGGGTAGGTGAGAAAGGGTAGCATTATTATGGGGAAAGAAGAACGAAGTATCAGGTTTTGGAATCCCAATACCTGAGTTGAAACACGGCTGTGCCAATAAACAAGATGCCTTAATTTTGGGCAAGTTTTTTGAGCCAAAAGTTCTGAATCTAAACTGTGCCCAATAATACCAAACCCACAGGGTTGTCATGAAGGTTAAGTGAGATAACATACATAAATTTTCAGTATTTTTTCAATGAAATTTCAACACATACTTAATGACACACATATTAATAATCCTTCAGAATACACAATAAAATACCAATGTACAAGTAAAGCATTTCACTAGTCTGGTAGGTTTTTAAGAAATGGAGGAGACTAAATGATTTTATAGAAAACGATAAAATGTATAAAATGACTAAAGATTTGTTGATCATTTATTTACTTATTTATTTTTTAGAGAGAGAGAACTTTTTAATATTTATTTATTTATTTTTTTAGTTTTCGGCAGACACAACATCTTTGTATGTGGCGCTGAGGATCGAACCCGGGCCGCATGCATGCCAGGTGAGCGTGCTACCGCTTAAGCCACATCCCCAGCCCTTTGTTGGTCATTTATAAATGCTTCTTTTCTAAAGTACTGTTTAAGTGAAATCTAAAAAATAATAAAATCATAAGATATCTTCTTTTAGGAACTACGGCTCAATTTAATTTAGACACTCCAGGGATATCAATAAATGTTCTGACAAATACTCTAATAATCTGGGTACAAATATATAGATCAGAATTTTATTTGTCTCATACTATTTTTAACTTATGAGGCCTACATTCTTTAACCAGATATTAAACAGTGAGCCTATCATGAATATGCATTGTTGTAACTAATCCCATGGAAGGTAGTTTTTTTTTTTTTTTTCATTTATTCATTTAACTTATATTCTGAGGGATTTTCAAAATTTATTATGGTTTGGTTTAATCATGGAAATGTTCTTAGGTCTTGAACTAGATGTGTCCTTTCTAACCAATCTAAAAATAACTCTTCTCCATCCCTACCTAGGATAAAGATGACTTCAATTTCTAGCTAAAAGATTCAATTTCATTTATTTTGCCCACAAAAAAGCTGCATGTTTTGTAACATAGATTTGTTTATAATAAATATTAAAGCAGTGATTTAATCTTAACTGATTTAGATATAAACAAATAATTTTAAGATCCCATTGCTATGATAATTCAGTGTACAGTCTAATGCCTCCCTAAAGACTGATCACGACACATACAAAGTGCTTAAGTATAGCCTGTATAAAATGAGACTAAGGATGAAGGCTGAGACTGTAGCTGAGTGGTACAGCACTTGCCTAGCATGCACAAGGCCCTGTTTTCAATCCCTAACATCACAAAAACCAAACAACCAACTGGCTGGCCAGCCAACCCACACACCCTCCAAAATCAAAGAGGCTCAAGAACGAGGATAGTCAGATGCATTTAGAGAATATAATTTGGATTTGAGTTAAATGGGATTTTTTTTCCCCTCTTCTGTCAATGGAGATAGAAAGATGAGTTTTCAGATTTAAGTCTTAAATCACAACCAGGTCAAAAGGGCTCAAAGAAATGGATTTTCTACTGAATGTGAAGTCACAATTTTAAACACACATTTTCAGTCTTTAAAGGCTTCTGCTACTTGGAAAAGTAAGAGTTTAATTTGTCTTTGAGCACAAAAAGACTGTATCCTAGCATCATGATTATCAAGAAGGCATTTCAAGAAGCTAGTTCATATTATTTACAACAAAGTCTTTATGCCAACCCCTCTTAAAGACCAAAGCAAGAGCGTTTACCAACTAGCTTGAAAGAATCTTTTAGCAGCCAACATCCTTAGAAATCTAGTACCATGTCCAGCCAAACACAGAACAAGAAAGTTATTTTAAATATATTAAGCCATCTCTCAACTTGCTCCTCATTTAAAGACTATATCTGCTCCATTTCTAATTTTAAACACTCCTGACAAATGCATTTATGATTTTGAGCTGTTAATCTTATTGAGCAATGCTAAACACAGGAGAAGGATCAGTTTTCAGTTTTGTATCCCACACTAAAGCTAGCAGCATTCTAATTCTTACAGAAGTATAATCATAATGCTTTTCACATGGCAAACCATTTTTCTTCTCCTCAGATAATCACTAAGACCCAAGATAAAGAATTCTTCCTAAGTGACATACTTGGTATAAGAAAGTTTCCCTGGAGACCCAGTTCTCCTTCATTACTGAGGCAAATTTCCTATAGAAAAGCTTTTCAGAGATTTTCTACTTATTTTTAAAAGAAAGTCGTCACTGCTTTTATTTCTGACACCTGAAAGTCACTCCTGTTAATTTATTATTTATAAACCTTCTTGGCAAGGATCTTGTGACCAAATTTCTGTTTATGATTTCTTCTATTTGGGATTTTCCCCAAACAAACCAAGATGTACTCAAATACTTAGGTAAGACGCACAATTAAGAAAAGACAGTGCAGCACATGCTGCTCATCCAGCAGTAATGCCCTTCCTTTATGTACATATTCCTGTTGCCCTCCTCCCCTCCGTATCCCACAGTACTTTGGCTCATCTTTCACTCCCCCCCACCCCCCAAGAAATAATTTCTGTTCTTTGGAGAAAGAGAAAAGCTTTAAGTTTGGAGAAGTCAGGGAAGACCTGCCTGGAGTTGGAGACTTCATCACACCAAATAATCTACATGCAGCATCCTCATGTACGTGATGCCAGTGGAGGAGGGCAATGGCAGACACTGAGGAAGGCAGCCTGAATCCAGATCTGAGGATAAGAGAAAAGGGTGTTCCAGGGAACAGAACTCTACCTCAAAGAAAGACCAAATGAAAAGGTGTCCTATACTTCTAGAAACACTGACACGACATAATAAGTGATCTAATCCTGAGAGACACCTTTGAAAAATATGTAGGGCTTCTGGGAATTAAGAAAGCACATTCCCCAAACAACCAACCACAAACACTGCTGCCACTAGATCCAAAAACACTAGGTAACTAGAAAGAGAGAGAGGTAGAGAGAGGCAGAAAGAATCTTTTACAATAGTTTCCATATTCTCTAGGGAATAGACAGTCCAACCTGTTGTCATTTGATCAAGAAACAGGAATTATGCCAAACACAACAGGACTTTTCCCTCTAACCTCCTCCAAGTGATAGTAGTGATAGAATTAATTCTAAACACAATTTTATCAAATTTTACTCATTCAATAGTGCTCTGAAGTATCTGGGGGCCAATCACACAGTAATCACAAATGGATGTTAACAAGTAACACAAGAGCACAGACATAACATACCCCTCCCTACCCAATCATCAACTGCTGTGTGCTCTCACAAGAACCTCAGAGGCTCCCAAAAGAGACAACAGTGAATATTCACAAAATTGAGAACCAAAAATACAGTATACATTTCACGTTAGTCCCACTGGCTCCTGATTTATCAGTATTCATGTTGAATAATTAACTCATTATCAGCGCACATGGATACAGTGGCTTTCTAGAGTATGTGTTAAATATATTATAATTTTAGGCACCCTGCCTTAAAACAAAACAAAACAAAACAAAACAAACAAAAAAACAATTACATAAACACAGACATACCTTCTTACAGGAGCTGAATGTGCCATCAGGCAGAAGGGGCCTCCGACGCCTCTCAGGCATAAAGGGTGAGCCAAAGCGAATGTAGTGTTTGGGGGTGGTGCAAATTAATGGGGAATGAATAAGACCCGGTAACATGTTCAGCGTTGTTGCTAGTACAGTTGGGTCTGTGGTGATACGTAAAGGGCATTCAACAGGGCACTCTTGCTTCTCGGCTTTGTCGTTCAGCCATTCTGTAACTAGATACTATGGTTAAAAAAAGGAGAGAGATCATTACTTAATGCTGCAGATGAAAAGCCAGAGGCAGTAGTAGTGCAGTTCACAAAGACAAACCTCATCTAGAAACTAGGACAGATGCCACAGCTGCAGTGAGAATGAATTGGGCATTCAGAACACAAGACTATCTTCCTTTACCCTCTCTGTGTCCACTAAGAGTGGAACAGTTTCAGTTACCAATGATTTAAGTTCTGTCTAAAAATAAGGGAACAAAAAGTAGTAGAATGGTTTGAGGCTTCCTCATTAAAGGATTTTATCTAGAACATGTGATCTAGCAAACACTGAGATTAATTTTTTTCTGGGGATTACAGGTACTTGTGTTTTATTAACACATCTTCCGCCATACTAGACTCATGAAGATGAATTCATGACTTACCTTTTTGGTTTTGGGGTACTTAGATGTAGCACGGTTAACATGAGATCCAGTAACTGATATCACAGTTGGGTCAGATCCTGTTAACTGCCTGTTTTCTCCTGAACTGTCTATACTTCCAGTTTCAGTAGGAGTTACTGAGTTATTACTTCCTCCCTCTTCCAAGGCAGCTTGTGACAACTCTGCCTGTTGTGCACTGGCCTGCTTCTGACGTTTTAGTCTTTGGGCTGAACTGGTCCGGTACCGAGAAATTCGACTCTTCGGTCGGGGTCTGGAAGGCTTTGCTGGAGGTGGTTTGGGGACTGGTTTTTCTGCAGCAACATCCTGTAACAACATCAGGGTCAAATGCTGACCAAAAATTCTTATCAGTAAACATTCTATCCAAATTCTTCTTTAAGCATTCTGAATGCCTACTGGTGAAAAAGATAAGGATTTGGAAACAGTCATTTAAAATGTATTCTTTAAAAAAAAAAAAATTATTTTTTAGTTTTAGTTGGACACAATACCTTTATTTTATTTATTTATATGTGGTGCTGAGGATCAAACCCAGGGCCGCACATGTGCTAGGTGAGTGCTCTACCGCTGAACCACAATCCCAGCCCTAAAATGTGTTCTTTAAACCCCCAAATTTATACATTTAAATTAACTAAAGAGATTGTGAACAGATATCTGGGTTAGTTATTTCTATTTCTCATAAGCATCTATAAAATAGGTCATAAGTCAACTAAAGGGAAACACCTAATTTTAGGGTTCTTAGCAGAAAGAGAATTCCTCCTTGTACTTCTTTCCTAGACAATGAGGTCTCAGCTTAAGGCTTAGATTCATGGCCGGGGGAAGGAAGGAAAAGAAGGGTTTATCTTGAGAATCCTATGAAAGGTACATGAGAGAACTCAAAATAATTTTATTTTTTGGTGGTGGGGATTAAAACTGGGGCCTCATACATGCTAAGCACTCATTCTAACACTAAGTTCCACCCCTGGCCTATAAACCAAATGATTTTTATAAATTCACCACCAACAGTTTATCTAGCAAAAAAAGTACCAAGTTCCACTGAAGCATGAAGGTATTTAGTCATTCAAATTCTGAATTCACCTGTTTCCCTGAACCCCATAAATCAGCTGATGAAAATGTTAAGTGCCGTTATTTACTACGATACGGGACAAACCCCAAAATACGGATTTTAACCATCCAAAAGATAGGTTAAAAGGTAATTGGCAGGGGCTGGGATTGTGGCTCAGTGGTAGAGTGCTCGCCTAGCACGGGCGGGACCCGGGTTCGATCCTCCACCACATAAAAATAAAAAAGCATTGTGTTGTGTCCATCTACACCTAAAAAATAATTAAAAAAAAAAAAAAAGTGGGCTGGGGATGTGGCTCAAGCGGTAATGCGCTCGCCTGGCATGTGCAGGGCGCTGGGTTCGATCCTCAGCACCACATAAAATAAAATAAAGATGTTGTGTCCACTGAAAACTGGGGAAAAAAAAAAAAGATAATTGGCATTAGCAAGAGCAAAGGTGCCCAAGCCCTTGTCTTTTCATCTCTTACCCCTGCTTGGGAAGACCTCCGGGTGTTCACTCCAATACTCTGTGGGATGCTTGGGATGGAAACATTTGAAGTAAGGTTGCTAACTTCAGATTCAGAAGCTTCTGTTTTTGTCTCTTCTCCAACAGGAGTCTCTGAGGTGGTGGCAGTAATCTCTATGTCAGGGCTGCTCTGTTCCAAGGGCTGATCTCGCCGTTTCTTTCTCTTTTCTAAGTTTTCGAAAGCATGCATAATGGCTTCAACCTTCCTATCCTCTCGGGTCTAGAAAGAAATAGCATTGGTATAGAAGGAAGCCCCAGTAGGAATAGGAGAATGTCAATTCAGAAGTGTTATTAATGTAAATTTATAGAAACTTACTTAACTACCAATAAGATAACACATATCTTTGAGAACATAATAACTAAAAACAAACTTTTTATTTTAATTTTTTTTTTAATGTTTTTTTTTCTATATTTATTTTTTAGTTCTCGGCGGACACAACATCTTTGTTGGTATGTGGTGCTGAGGATCGAACCCGGGCCGCAGGCATGCCAGGAGAGCGCGCTACCGCTTGAGCCACATCCCCAGCCCAACAAACTTTTTATTTTAAATGCTGGTAACAGGTATAAAAGAAAGCAAACCAAACTATACTTTCTTTTAAAAGGCCAACTGGGCTTTTTGGGAAAAAAAAAAAAAAAATTTCTTTTTTAGTTGTAGTTTGAAACATACTTTTGTTTTATTTATTTAATTTTATGTGGTGCTGAGGATCGAACCAAGGGCTTTGCATGTGGTAGGCGAGTGCTCTACCACTGAGCCACAATCCCAGCCTGAAAATTTTTAACATGTAAGAAAATAGCCATCAAAACCAAATTTTCTGCAGTAGAGCGCTTGCCTACTGAGTGTGAGGTCCTAGGTTTGATCCTCAGCACCACATAAAAATAAATAAAAACAAAGGTATTGTGTCTACCTACAACTTAAAAAAACCCCAGAACCCCAAAAAACTCCATAAAAAACAAGAAAATTCCTAAGTCAGAGGAAAACAGTGTCAACACATCTTGTTTTAAACCACTGAGTTTTGGGCTAAAAAGATTATTATAAAGAAACCTCTTAAGGCAAGGATTAGATGGTCAACAGACAACTACTCCATGCATGCGTGTGTTCACCTATGTGTAGAGAAAGAAAATAGAAGCAAAGGGATGTTAGACAGCACTTACCCTCCTGCTCTGAGCTGTGTTCTCCTGGTCATCTATAACCTCTTCTTTCTCTTCTTCTGGTTTTTCTTCTGGATTGTCTACTTCCTTTAAATAGAAGAAATATTAAATTATATTCTTAAACTGGGGTGAGGGAAATCAATCAATTTTATTCTGGTAGCTTAAAATTGCCCAGAAATAATTTCTAGAGCTTTCATTTGTTACTCATGTGAGGCCACATGGCAAACAGATGATAATCCTCATTCTCCAAATGGAACCTGGACAGTAGCTAAAAGGTTTTGCTTTTTTTTTTTTTTTTTTTTTTGTGTTGGGGATCAAACCCAGGGCCTTGTAATTACTAGGTAAGGGCTCTTAACACTGAGCTATTGAAAGGATATTCACAAGAAAATGAATGAATGCAGATGTATGCTGATATAAATAGCTATTAAGTGTATACTACTGCTTCCCTAAAAATGAAGGAAACCTGGGATCAACTTCTTGGAAACGAATGATACCACATAATTTGACCAGAGGAGATTACCTCATGATCACTGGATAAAGTTACTTTTTCTGGAACTTCTTGTGGTTGCTGGTCATTATTCTCCTCTGAAGCCTCATTCTGCTGCTCCATCTCTAGCTCTTTCCGTCGTGCTTTTCTACGTCTGGTCTCTGCCCCAATGGTAGGGAGGGTTGGAGGAGGTGGGAGTGGCAGTTCTGCAGCATTTGGATTCCTTTTCTGTATAGGGCAATTCCGGTTCCCCTTGTGACATGCACAGTCCACTTTATAATTACTGCTCCAAAGAAACAAAAAATGTACTTGTCTCAGTATCCTTGAAAATCAGGTTTATCACCATTCATTCTTTTGAAACACCAGCAGGATAATTTCCTCTGGAATTATCTTTAAATAAGTTCAAAAAATTAGAGTGTCTCTAAGAATACTTTAATATTCTGTTTCTTTATATATTTCCCACTCTGTGCCTATGTATGGCCTGTAGAAAGAAAAGAAAATATCGGCTAAATTTAATTCTCAATTGCTTTTATGCTATTCGATAGTCAATCAGTAAGCGTCTGAAATGGCCAAACTTCTATTATGCTCATCATTACTGTGTCTTCACTTTTACTTGAATGACTACTTATTATTAATTTTGCTTTTTCTTATTCCTGGGCGGTATGAGTTTACCATATAATTTGGATTTTGCCCAAAACAACCAAAAGAGAAAAAGCATCTACTTTATAAAACCTATTACATATTCACCTATGACTTGCTATCTGTTTTTTTTAAATATATTGTCATATACAGCTAGATTACATAGTTTGAGCAAATGAGGTGAATCTTTTGTCTCATTTAGTGTGGCTCCTGACACAAATGCTCTGCTCACACTAACACATGCCATATAGCTTCCAGGAGTGTCTCATACACCTTTTTTGCTATTCTTGCTAGAGAGCCATAAGTTACCACTTTTGTTAGGTGACTTGTAAATGGTTACAAAGAAAATATCAAAATCTCTAAAAAAGAATCTTCAGTTGGTCTTCTCCTTCACAGGTAGAAAATATATCATTTGTGAAAAGATTAAACCAAAAAATGGCAAGGAATGAAAGCAGACTTCATAAATAGAGTCAAACTGCTTAATATCTAACACAAGATGATCCATGTTAGGAAAAATTTTTTGGGTCTTACCAGTTACTATACTCATAATCAAATGCAATGGTGACTTCAGCATCCTTGGTGATGGCAGAAACAGCATAAATACATAGATGAATCATCCCATCTGCAATCATGTGTCGCACCTGTATGAACATGGCTCAAGGTTGGATTTATCATAGACTATTATTTTCTCATAAAAGAGGAAAAATGCTTTTACCAAATAATTTTACTTAGAGTTATAATAGTCTGTGTAAACTTCATTCATTATTTCATATGTAATTATTATACAGTAAGGTCCTGATATTTCTTGAAATAATCAGAGAAACCTTGAGATTTAGAAATTGGTGGCGGGGGGGGGGGTGTTTCTTATTTTAAAGTTGTTTCTGGTTCCACCACACAATTAAAATTCCTCATCCTATAAATTAAGCTCTGTGGATTTTCTTGATGCATTTGATCTGGTTGCACTGAGTAATGAATTCAAGAAATATCCAGAATCTTACAACACTGTTTTCTCAAATCTATAAAAGTGAAACCAAATAGCTTAGCTGATCCTAATGATATCTTCCCTCACGTGACCACTTCAACATAATCAAACTAATTTCTTATCTATCCAGTCTACCTTTTTCTTCTTAGGAAACCCTAACTTACTTTTTCTCATTCTCCTGCTTTAAGAAAATCCATTCCTTGCCCCAATCCCACCAATGTCAAAGCAGTATTACTTTTGTTTTTCATTTTTTACAATTAAAGATTACAACTATTAGCTACAGACCTTTATCTGGGTGATTTTCAGAATGCTTCTTCAGTAAACTTGTCCTTTGGTGGTTCCATTCAAATGGAAGTTGTTACAGATATCTTACCTCTGCATTTGGTGTACATGATCTTCTGATGAAGCGAGCATCATTACCGAAAGTACGGGCATCCACACACATCTCTACACCATTGAATTTTGAGTAGAAGAGCACAAAGGGATATGGTCTAGGGATATAATTAAAATTCCTGTAATTCTCAACACAAAATAAAAAGGCCACCCCATGACTCTAAATATGAAGCATATGCTGACAGAAGAAGCAGCAGTCCTTTGCAATGCCTAAACTTGGAAAACATTACATGCTTGTCTGCTTTTGATTAAAGTACAAGCACAAAGCAAGGAATGTTGGACTTGGAAAGGAGTCATCACCACTTTATACATTAAACAATTTGCAGATTTATTTGCACTTCACTACAAATAGCAAACAGGCACAAACTTATTTGAATTGTTATCTTTTTCCCAAAAGCAACCTATCAACCAGGAAGAGTTTTATATCAATACTGGTCAGCCAGAACCATGTTAGCCCTCAATGCTCAACAAACCATGTTCTTACTTTTTGAAGAAATGCCCATTGACCTCAAATTGTTGCCGTAACATGACTTTCCCGCGGTACTCTATTATAAGAGTATCCAAAGCCAAATCTCTTGCAGCCCTCAGGATTTTACGGTGCTTTTGAACCCGAGTGACTCTTCCCAGCTGTAACTAAATAAAACCAGAGTATTAACATTAAACAAAATAGCAACAGCAGATTAGTAGACAAAGTTTTGAATTTGATATAAGCTCAAATTTTCTAGAAAAATGCCCCACCTAGTGAACCTGCTACCCAGAAAAGGGAAGAAAAGATCAAAGAAATACCCACGATTAAGATTTTAGTGATTCTTTCTCTAAAATAAGAATGAGGGTTAGCTTTCTATAAATCTTACACAATTCCTAGGGCTGTGTAAAATTTCCTATCCTGATTTATTTTTGATTGATATTAAAGATAATTTAAAAATATGTATCCAGATAGTTTCCACTAAATATAACCTGTTTTTTTTTTTTTGTTAAAAAATACAGTTGGCTAATTTGTTATTCTAAACTTTTTACATTTAGAAGAAAGAATTTGCAATCCATGCCTTTTCCTGAGATTTCTAAAAAATCTCTACTTCTTTAATTAACCCTTTGTTCCTTACCTGCATTTGGGAACCTATAACTGTATTATTACAGGCCAATTCGGTCTTATTAATAGTGTCTAAAATAGCAGGTTTGCCCACAAATTCCTTGCTAGAATGTAGATGTTGCTCAAGGGCGTTCTGTACATCTGCACTGTACTGATTAGTGAAAGCTTCTTCATACTGATCAGTCCATAGTCTTATCCGATTTTCCCAGCCCTCAGTTGTATTCTCATCTAAATTCTGTGCTTCAGAGGGAGAATTCTGCAGAGAACAAAGGTCAGGTAGGTTAGTATAGTCCATGCATAAAAATGTACCAGGGTGGGTGGGGGTGGACAGGCTGAGTTTCAAAAAAAAAAAAAATTCACTTGGTAGGTGGTGTGGCATAAAATAAAAATGGACTGGGAGTCAGAGGATCTGGCTTTTATCAAAGTCTTATTCACAATGAGTTGTGAGGTTTCCCCACTTAAAAAAATTAGTCTAAATCACAGTTGCAGGCCATCACTTATTTTATGACCATTTTTAAGTCTCAAAAATTGCATTTATCTTATGAAAAGAATTACATCAAGTTCATAAGAAAATCTTTATAAAAAGGAACAGTACAGACACTGCAAACTATCAAAATGCTTAAATTTTGAATCTTATTGAACATTTACCTGTGCTAGTGTGATAGCCCAAACTGGTTTGTTTTATTATCTCCAGAAGAATGATTTTGTCTGTATGTCACTTAATGTTTTCATTATACAATTAAGAACTGTTCATACTAAATATACTTGTGATCCCAATCAATCAATCACCATGCTACCACCCATAGAAAAAGTTATTTTGTAATATACCTTTCTAATACTCTAAACAATTTATATAGTCACATTCTAAATAGTCTGAAAAGGAGAAGTGAGAGGAGGGAAGTGGGTAGGGGGACTATAAAAAAAAAAAATGTCTTGAGAGGAAGGTACTTTCCCATAGTCCTCTAAGAAAATCATTGCTTTCTATGGTGACAGTACTAAGAAAAGATTATTACTTTTCAGCAACAGATCTTGAACTGTGTATATAAACCTGAACTATAGAGACACAGCTTAAGTATGAAACATGTTCTTGTCCATGGTGTTTAAGATTTGAGGTGCTGACAGAAAACAAACACACTGATAGTGATGATGCCATGCTAGTGGTGATTAGAAGGAAAAGATACTGTAGTGACTAAAGCTACATGAAAACCTATGTCCACACTAAACTTCCCAAAACAGGCATAACAAAATTAAATATACTTTCCATGCATGGTACAGAACACACTGATGTCTACTATAACAACTGCTTCCCTTGGCCACTTTTGTAACACTGCTGTTGACGGACTTTCCACAAGAAACAGGAAAATGTAAAAATAAGTCACAAAAACTCCATGGTTTTCTATAATTTTCACTAGGGTCCAGAAGATCAAACAATAAACAACTAAAAAAGAAACACCTAAAGCCAACACACTGTGAACAGAAGTATCACCTACTTGACATTATTAGTAGCAGCTGAGCAAGAATGATGGGAAACTTGACTTAAGGCTGCATAAGACTGGGGATTAACGATGCCCAGAAAGTATTTCCAGATTAAGCATTCAGTATCAATCACTAAACTTACAACTTGTAACTTACTGTATTTTGAAAGCCTCTGCTACAGTATTAACTGTTGTTCATTAAGCCGACTCTCTTAAGTAGTTCTTAACTGGGGCAATTTGCTCTCTGGAGACATTCAGCAACACTAAACACATTTTTGATTATTACGATTCTTTGTGTGCATGTCTGTTTGTTTTACTGCACCTACTAGGTAGATGCTGGGGTGCTGCTAAATGTCATACAATGTGAAAAATAGTCCCTTCTACAACACAGAATTACTTAATCTGAAAAGTCAACAGCATCAAACAGACACTAAGTCTCCACTACGAAAGCTCTTGACTTTCAGATTAAAAACCCAAATGATAAAAATTTCCCCCTCCTACGGCATCTGTCTACCTGGATCTTTGATGAAGTCAATTAATTCTGAGCACAAAATTTGTAACTCAGAATTATAAGATAACAATCAAAACACCGGAACTGTTTTTCTGTTGAAATTTTAACTTGTCTTTGGAGATGTAAACCTCCTGAAACTGTTTTTTTGTAAACAAAATTTGGGACTTATATCTACTTTTCTGAGTGAGCCAGGCAACAGTTTTCAAAACGTTTTAAGTCTCTGAAGGTGAATTACAGTAACTGGCTGACAAAGAGAAAAGAGCTCTGCAGCAGGGACTAGGGATATGTTTGCCCCAAGTATCTATTTAAGATCCCTTCTTAGTAAATGAAAAATGAGTTAAAACAAATTTGGCTCCTTTTAGGAGGTAAGTCTAAGCAAGCAAATAATGATTTTAAGTTATATCTCAAACCACATTTCAGGTTTCTGACAGTCTGTGGCTAAGTCCTCTCCCATCTCTACAAGCTGAGGCCTTAGAACTTTAGATAAATGTCACCTATAACTTTAAAATATTTTTTAATTGTAGATGGACACAATACCTTTATTTTATTTTTTAAAAATATTTATTTTTTAGTATTAGGTGGACACAATATCTTTATTATACGTTTATGTGGTGCTGAGGTTCGAAGCCAGGGCCTCACACACGCCAGACAAGCGCACTACCACTGAGCCACAACCTCAGCCCTATCTGTAACTTTTGATATAACATCAATCATATTGTTTAATTTACACATGAATTAAAGTAATTCTAATGAAGCTTATCTTAGGACTTTAATATTTATGCTATATAACTGCCAATCGGAAAAATCCTGCTTTTATATAATATATACATCTAGGGATATGAATACTAATAGAATTAAACTAGAACTTGATTCTAACAAATCCTTTGAAGCCATATCGGATAGATAAAAGAAGATACTAGACAGTATCTAGATAGCAAACTTTTTGTCAACCAGTACCTAAAAGTCCTCTGAAACACTGTACATAATTTCTGTCCTCCAACCTTTTTATGAAATCACGTAAGTTCTTTTACTTGATAAATAAAGAAAAGCAACACTAGCATCACATGAGTCCTTTCCAAACAGATAAGCCAAGAAGAAGCAGTTCAACAGTAAGTCATTCCAACAGGATCGACTATCAACAATATAACTTTGCTGCTAATGACAAGTTATTCATCCAACTGGTGATTAAGCCTACTTGGTGCCAGGGTGGAAGCACAAGAAATCCTCTATCATTACCACAAAATCTCACTCCTGAAATTCAGTCCAAGCACAGTGACAAAATACACCAGCCTCATTTTGTTCGGCAAAATGTCACTTACCCCCCAGCAAAGCAGCTAATGAAAAACTAATAAATGAAGGCTAATTACAGAAAGAGAAAATATTTCAGAAAATGGCCAAGAAAATCTACTTTGGAGAAAAGCTCTATGAAAACTGAATGGCAACAATTACAAACTAATGAAAAGCAGACTCCAAGATTCCCAGACCATCGATGTCAGGAAAAGAAGCTGACCAAAATGCAAGATCACAGTGAAGTAAAACACAGCATCAGGGAAGATTACCCCTTACCTTCATCCGCAAGGACTTCCGGGATCCCTCTCGAAATGCCTATCCCAAAGAGGAAAACAAGTAGAACAAAACAAAACTTGGTACCAAGAATGACAGTTAAACCTATTTGAGACTAAAACTAAAGCACAAACTAGTGTTCTATTCTGCCCCCTTTTCTCTAACTAACAAATACCACGGAATTCCCAAAAGTATTTTCAAGAATAGGGGTATAGATCACAGCCAATGAACTCTGAAACTAATTCTGATAATTTCTATTGTGGAGCTAGGAAACTAACAGGGAAGAACATGCACCATTTAAATCCTATATGCACCCCTGACACTAAGAGAAAAAGTCAATAAAAAAACCTTAAGTTGCAGATTTACCAGTTTTGAAATTAAGAAGGAAACAAAGACCAATCCCCTTAACAAGGGGTGAGCAAGTAACCTATGAGCAACAAAGTTGCTGTGATGGGGAAGAAAGCAAGCAAAACAGAAGAGATTTCTCCTGGAAGCTTTTTAATTGAGAATATAGGAAAGTGACCACAACACTGAGGAAGACTAGACCATTCAAGAGATGTTTCCTGAATTTAGTTTTGTGTTTTTTTTTTTTTAAATGAGGAAAACCCATCAACCCAATGACATGAGGTGGGCATGTAAAAAGGACAAGAATTTCAGACTCCTTTGGGGCTGGAAGTCAGGGATATTATAAGGATAGTGGAAGCCTAGCTTCAAGGCTGCAATACGTATGGGCTTGTGCCAGGTAAGGCTGGAATTTCATACCTGGGATGGGTGTTGGTGTAGAACACGATTTGAGCCAGTGGTGATGGTATGATGTGGTAGAAGAGAGGTTGGTCTATATGTACATAACACAGATTATCTGATTTTTTGTAAGCAGAGCAAAAGTGGCCCTCTAACACTTACATCAAATTACTTAAGAGTATTTTGGTGCATTTTTTGCTCCAAAATTTGAGCTACCTTGGAAATATTTCTATTTAGAATATTTTCACCACCCATACCTTGATTTTCTTCGTCTTTGGTGCTGCACGACCCTTTTCTGGACTCTTTTTCCGCTTCTTGGGTTTGGTTCTTCTAACAGTTAAGGTGATGCTTGTAGGTGTGTGCTGTGTTGCTGTATACAACACAGTGGAAGGAGAAAGCTCCTCATCCCAGCTTTCTGTTGCACTGCTATCCCCACCTGAAAAAAGATGATTTCACATTTCAGATACCACAAGCCTTAGAGGTGTACTAACAATAGTTTATTTCTTAGGTATGTACTCTATCATTTGTAAAGGAACATGAAAATAAGATCCTCTCTATGTCACGGGCTTTAAGCATATACACTCTGTTCTATATTAAACCTATTTCTCCCTTTGAATAAAAAGGGAGATTGAATATAGTCTCCAAGCTCCATTGCCTCAATTGGTAATAATTTAAGATGGGACAATGAAAAAAAAAAGGAAAGAAAAAGACTTTTTTTGGGGGTGGGGGATGTTCACAGGAAATAACTCTGATCTCTATAGGACTTAATGTCGTTTCCATGATAGCATTATATAGTAGTTTTGAGAATACTTGTGCCTCTTTCCACAAAAAGAGCTGAGCACCACACAAATTACTGAGAGGATTACTGAGAGAACATTGAAATCACATGTTAAACATGGGCACAACCCATCTTCTGCTCACCTGATATGTTGTCCTGCTTCCGCCGATGAAGTCTAATAACCTTCCCCCTGCTCATTCCCCTAAAGAGGGAAAATAAACTTAAAGTAGTCCTTCCAACAGCATGCAGCACATCATAGCACACATGGGAGAAGAGTCTCTGCATAGACTACCCCCTCCCTCCCACCTACCAAATGTTTCCAGGACATTAAATTTCATATCAAATTCAATAGCTTTAACATCAATCTCTCATTCCTTGTTGTCAGCAATTCTCACCTAGTGCAGAGAATTCGAGCCAAGGAGCACTAAGGAATCATCTACATTAACAAACACAAGAAAGAATACTTTGAGCTTTTCCCTACTAATAAGAAACCCTAATCCCAGCAACCCAGGCTTGAATTTAGATGGAACAGGATCTTACCTGCACTTGTCACAGTTGAGAAGGAAGCCATCCTGAGAAAGACCACAAGGACACCAGGTAGGAACAGTCTCTCCTTCAGAGTTCGGGCTGTCTCCACAGCGTTCCTCTACGGGCGACGGCAGGCCATTCAGGTCAGAACGAGGGATGATCGTCTGGACAGGGGGAGAAGCAGGAGGTGTCGGAGGAGGAGGGGCTCCGTAATTATGATCCTGAAAATAAGATTTTTTAAATCAACAGTGTCCAAACACTGGCCCCTCTCTCCCCTAAAGTATGGTACATATGGAAAGAAAGAAGAAAGTAGTACCCTTCGTTTTTTGGCTTCAACCAGGAAAGTGATAAAACAAAATGCCAAGGTCAACTGGGACATAAAAACAAGAACAATGATGCAGGGCTAGACGTCCGCTGGAGGCAGGGAAGTGCAAAAGGGGCAACTTCGTCATGCTGCATATAAACATTTCAAGAAAGTCACAATGTGTAAGAATGGATTACACTCCAGGAAGATCACTGCTCTGGAGAGAAACAAATGCATACTCACAGCATAAGGCAGTCCTCGACACCCATGCCTCTGAGTGGTCCCATAATTATGAGTGGAATACACGCTCTTCTCATTAACTGCTGGACTAGCCTCCACAGATTCAGGGCTGCACAAAGGCGAAAAGCAATGCATGATAGCATAACACCTAATCTTCCCTTAAACTAATAGTTAACTTCCCATTCTAACCCCTCCTCTTTCCACAACCACCAGCCACTAGAATAAGAGAGAGAACTCAGTGAACCAATTTGATTAACATAACTAAGCCTATAAATAACAGTAGGAGTGTTACTGAATGTGAATTTGTGTGTAACATGAAGCCAGTATAGGCAGATGTCTCAAGGTAGGCACCTGGGATACAAGGTGTCCCTAATGACAAACACAAACGTACCAGCTGAGCGGGGAGTTTCCCCTAGAGAAGCCACTCTGGGCTGGTTTAGACTCAGAACTATTCTTCTTAATTGGATCTCTTAATACTTCCATGAAACCTCACATGACATTTGCAGTGAGTGAGATGATGAAAGTGCCTTCTGCACTGCCCCAGGGACCAGGCCCTCTTCCATTCACTACCAAGACAGGATACCCTGAAGAAAGTACAGGTAAAAACAATGGCATCTTATATTTATCACACCTCTCATCTTGAAGAACCCCCAAACACCTTTCACATATCAGAGTAATAATTTCTCATTCACCAATGACATGCAAGCATATAAAGAACACAATTATTTAACAGCTGCATGGCAATACCCTAGGACTTCAAAATAATTAAATCTAAACTCATAAGTTACAATAGACCGGTGACAAATAATAACAGCTGTATAAACTATTTTGTAATTTGCCTAACATTTGCTTTATACTTGTTGATTCCTTTTAAATTCTGCAACCACTAAATTGGTGAACAGCACCCCGTTTTTGTAGAAGAGGAAGTTGAGAAGGTTAGAGTAACATGGCTTCCCCAAGATCATATTTTGACAGAGCTAGGACTGAAAACAGTGCCTGACTCCAAAACCTACAACCTCTCTATTATGTCTTTTTGGAAACAAGGATAACATTTTACCTTTAAAGAAATTATTTGAGACCTTTATTAACCAGGTTTAGTGAGAAACCTGGTTTAGGATCTTTCTGATTGAGTGAAAAATAAACGATTCAAGCACAATTTGTTATTATTATTGAATTTTGAATGTATTCAAATTTAGAAATTTAGTGTAAGCCTTTACTTGATAATAAAAAGGCACAGGTAGCCAAGGATAAAATAATATTTGTGGGAAAAAAACCAAACACCTCAGTTTTAACTTGTTACCTCGTAAGATTTGGGGGAAACTGGAATAATTATGGAACATAGTTGTATTACTCAGCAGAGATGAAAATGGATAATCTATAATTTATATTAATTAGGACAGAGATTCACAAGACAGACACTCCAAGGACTAGAATAACTCAACCTCAGAGATCAATTGGACTTTTAGGGAATAAAATAATGTGTAACGTTTGCTTCAAATAATAGACATTTTTCCTGCCTCAGGATATACAATATATAATACTTGGCAGGAAAAAAGAAGTATGCAGTCCAACTTGGCACATCAGTTGAGAAGTGAGGGATAAAAGAAAATTCTGAGATATGTATCCAACTCACCCAGTTTTATGCTCCAAAACTGTGAGAAGGGATCTTATTAATAACAGCAAAGGTAATTTCTAGATGAAGAAGAACTTTAGACATAGGAAAGTATTCTCTGTTAGTGAACTGCATGCATTTTATTATTTAACAGTGTCTGCAAGATGGGAACTGGGGGCAGGGTGTGGTACATCAAGAATGCAGGTCAGTATTCTTGAGAAAAAGATGATCTGAACATGGCTTACTGAGAGGCAATCAGCTCTGAGTATTAGGAAACAGGTGGGGTTTCCTAAATGAAACCAAAGGCAGACAAGCATTAATAAAATGAAGATAGAATTTAGTTCTATGATGGACAGTTAAAAGAGAGTAATGAATTTATACATAGTAAATTTACTAGGTACATTACTTGACAAACAAATATTCCATAGAATTGTACATATTTCATATAGGAGATTTTGTACTATTAAACACATGGGTGAAAAATGACAGCTGTTCATTAGAAATGGATTTTTTTTGGGGGGGGACAGGAAAAACGAAAGTTGCATGAAATAAAAGATGGCCATGGAGATGGAGCTATGTTGGTTATATCTTACCCATCTCCAAACTGGGTAAATATGAACATATGCACTTCACGTGCAAGTCTAGGGAATAAAAATAAAATGTATATTGTGGAGGTTAACAGGCCATCCTACCACACAACACTTTCTAGTCAAGCATAGCATTTAATATATTGCCATGCATATCAAATCTAAAATTTAAACTCATTTCATATGATGAAGAAACTGCATTTTCCATACTGGTTAATGCTTAAATACAGAGTGAGATGTTAATGGGTAACTGTAGGACTGTCTAGAACATTCCCTAACATATACATCAGTTCTTAACTGTATTTTAAAATATAGATTAAAAGTTTGGATTATTAGGATTGCATCTCTTTTATTGGCCAACCAATTCATGTAAACATAACTGCAGCCTTTCTTTTTCAGTAAGTGATTTGTTTTAACAGTAGGGCACACACATAGAAACCAAGCTAACAACAGATATACTCCATTAATAGTACTCAAAGTATAATATGCAACCTGTCACTATTAGGCCACCTCTTAGAAAATGACTGAAATTCTGTTTGGGAAGAACTGGAAATTTAAAAAAAAACCCTTTGTATCTTTTGTTACATCTATAAGTTCTCCTTTACATATTCAAAAACAAAGCAAAACAAAACAACAACAACTCCAGCCCCAACGTATTGTATATTGCTGCCATTAAATTTAAAACTTATGAGGTGAGGTCTAGTCTTTGACTCTGGTATTATGTTGCACTTAATACCAGATTTAATCCTAGAGAGTGTATAGAACAGTGGGATAGACATGGTGAAACACTAACAAGTGTTATTAAAACTGAGCAGAATAATTAAAAAGGTAATTATTGATGTACTCTTCCTTTGTAAACCTATAAAAGGGGTAGGTATGACATCAATTCTGACCATAGTATCAGAAACCTGTCTGAAGATTATGGATGAAAATGTTCAGAAAATCTTAGTGCATGACACTGCATTCAAATATATAGACCAGAAGATTTTTCTTTTCTGCAATCACTCTGGATTCCCCAGCAACATTTGTAGGCAGTTATCTTTTTACTCTGGGGAAAATATCAGTTGTAAGAATAACTGCTTTGCATCTTTTCCTTATCTACTAACTCTAAACTTACTGATTTAGCCTTTTTGTTGAAATTTCTCACAAATGTCAATGCTGTCTACTTATACAGTCTGTTATATTGTAGCAGGTTAGTAGCTGACTTCATGAAAAACTACAAACACTATATACAACTGAGCTATCTACTAATGCAGACAGGGCCTTATTTGGGGAAATAATTATAAAATTGAAAGTCTCAGATAATGGAATAACTAATCTCTTTGGCATGCAAACAACAACAACAACAACAACAACAACAACAACCAAAACCAAAAGAAAACAAAAATTTAAAAAAGCTCTAGAAGGAACACAACCCACTCTTTCCCGTCCCCCACCCTCCTTCATCCTTTTTATATGGGAATAGACTTGAAATTTGCTTTCAATTCCAGACTACCCCAGATTATTATATACTACTTCTTAGGGTAGCTTTATTTTAAATCTTCCTCTCCCTCCCACCCCCCACCCTGGAGCTGGGGATTGAACCCCAGGGTCTTGTGCATGCTAGGCAAGCACACTCTTCCACTGAGCCACATCCCCAGCCCTTAACTCTTCCTTGTTAAGGAACTCAGTAAATGGACAAGTTAACAATAAGTGGCTTTGAAGAAATATACATGCTCTTTAATAATATTCTCAGTTTTTAAGGAAGAAAACCACTATTAATGAGGGATGCCATTTAACCCAAAATTCTGGTACAGTTGCTTTGCTGAAAGGGGAAGAATCCCCAGGAACTGTGAAAATGGCAAGAGAAACAGGGGAATTAGAGCAACACCCACCTCACTCAAGAAGTGGCTGTGGGATCAAGAGTCTGAACTGGACCTGAACATATTCAAAACACCAGGATTTTTCCAGCCCAGACCCTAATCCCTGGTACTGCCTGGAATAGACTTGGCTTCTGGGGGTGTGCTGCCCCCTAGGCCCCTTGGGTCTCTTTCGCTGGACTTTCACATCCTGGTGTAGTGCCACTTCGTCTTGAAAGGTAGGGGGCTTCCACTTCCTTTCTGTAAGCAAGGAAGATTGGGTACAAGGGAGGTAAAAGGACAAGAGGGGAATCTGTGAGCAGGGGGAATCTTGGACAACTTAAAAGAGAAGGGATACAAAAGACTAAAATTTTTAAAACTGTGATATAAAGTTGTATAATGAAGGCCTACCTTCATTGTCATTTGGCATTTAAATTCTTCAAGAACTGAGAGTCTATTTTAGGGATTGGGCTTTTCGACAAACTCTGAATTCCTAAAGCTGCTCTTAGCTGAAAAAAAAGTTTGGTACCACTGATTTTGAAGGTCCTCTTTCTAGGCAATGAATATTATTAAAAACAAAACAAAACAAAACAAAAAAACACCCAGATGATACTGCTTTCCATATTTTCTACCCCAAAATCAGAAGGTCTAAGCAACATGCCCACATAGTTTCAGCCCCTTTACTCCAGAACAATGAGAAGTACATAGGAAGAGGCCTTCAAAGGAAATCAGTTGGAAAGAACACCTCCTATCTCCTTCCATCAGAATAATCATTAACTCTATGGAAGCAGGTAGTGACACCTACTTTATTTCAATCTTCCCCACCCATCAAAACAAGGAAAATGCAATCACTACTTTGCAACTTTGATTCTATTAATTATTCACCCCCAAATCCTTCCCTAAAAGCTCCTTTCCTCCCCCTTCTAATTCCTTTTTCCTCCAGCTTCTAGGGGAGAAAAGGGCAAGGTCTAATGTCATTTATAGTGGGATACACTTTGGTTAAGAAAATAATACATAGATCTTATTAACTACCATAAGAAAACTGTCTCCATACAAACTGGTAGTGTACCTATTATCTAGGAAGTAGCACTTACTCTGATCCAGCAGCCATATCTGAGTAGGATGTATCTGGTGTGGTGACTCCCAGAGGGATTGCAATGCTCATGACGTCAAACACAGCAGAAAATGGAAATCAAGGGATCCAATTAATGGAGACTGACCACTCTGAGAGTGGGGGTGAGCTCCAGAGCCTCAGCCAACATGTTATGGACATGAGGAATCCTGCCACAGGAAAGAAAAATATCTTGTAACTAGGTAGTTCATTAAATTTACCCTAAATGCTATTAAACATTTTTATATTGTTTTGATAAGGCCCCCAGCAGTGCAGGATCTAACAAATAAGTTTTAAGAAATAGGATGGTTATTACAAATGCGCTAGTTTAAATAAAATAAACTCTATAAAAAATTCAAGGTCTTCACTTAAACTGTGCGCCACAAATAAACAAAGTTTTACAGATAGAAAAGATCAACTTGTTTGTATTTGATTGGATACAGTTGTTTCTTCCTGCATTCTTTTGTCACAGAACACTTTCTTCCTTCTTTCAAACCATTTTTATTCTAACTGTAATTTGGGAGGAAGATACAATTATCTTAAGGACTGTATTTGGAAGATAATATACACTGCTAGATATAAATAAAAACATAAACCATGGGGAAGGCTATGCATGTATGAATGCAGAGAATAAATGGGAAATCTATATACTTTTGGTTCAGTTTTGCTGAGAACTTAAAATTGTTTTAAAAAGAGTGTGTGTATGTGTGTATATATATCTTCTGTCCATCTCTCAAGGGGCAGCACAAAAAAACTATAACTACAAATAATATTGTTTCATGACAGAGATTAGAGAATTGTGTATGAAAAAGGACTGAAGGCTTGGTGACCACAAACCAGTGGAATTTGGGAGGAGAAAGATTTTCAAACTTCTGAAGAGAAAAAAGGGAAAAAAAGTATAGTAAGAGATTTGGAAGTATGGTATAAAAGGGGAAATTTGTACTATTTTACATTAGTGGCTTTATATCAATGTATAAAACAATTAAAAGGACAAAACCACAGAAGCATTTTATGGAGGAAAGTCAATGTGAATGTAGAAGATCAAGGTTAACAAGGATTTTTATAAAAAAGACTACATATTGATTCATGACAAATAAGAAGAAAAGCTAAACAATTATTAATACCCCCAAAAACAGGAATAAAAAGTACATGACTCTGAATGAATCCAGGGGGTTAACTCAGATTTTCAATGGTAAGTTGATCTGAGATGTCTAAATCTTATTTTGATTGACCTGAATACAAAATCTGACTATGAATGAGGTAAAGATTTTTCAGAACACATGAAGATAACGTTACTTTTGAGCCATTAGTTTAGAATGCTAGAATAGTTAGCTACAAACCAAGAAGTTTTCCCTGGCCCATAGGATATCAAAAAGCTGGCTCTCACCAATGAATCCATGCCTCCCCAGGTGTTGCAATATACATGTACCCAACTGGAGATAACAATGCTAGATTGGGAATTGAAATGCAAACGAGGTCAAGTTTTTCTATCTACTGTTTCCTATGGTTCACAATAGAAAAGTTACTTATTTACTTTTTGCCTTTGGGCCAGGCTTACACATCTAAACAGATTATGGCTGCATATCCTCTAAGCCACTGGGAAACTGAAATGAAATCTGCAATGTCAAAACAGAGACCACTTACCAAAAGGGCACAGTTTGGTTATAATTCTAAAAAGAAAAAAAAAAAAAAAAAAAGCAAGGCCCAAAATTGCCTTACCACATAACCAGAATAGAGTCCAATAATGATCGCACCACCCCCCTTGACCACTAAAAGGAATCTGAATCGTGTTATATTTTCTGAAAATGACATTAAAAAAAGGGAGGGGTTACTCAACACGACTGGGGGGGGGACCCTCTGGCATAGTCATTATTATCGTATGCCTATAAAAAAAAAGGGGGGGGGGGGAGACAATTTATAAACCTAGACAGAGGTTTTTTTCTGACATTAATTTTAAAGAGACATACTAAAAGAAAGAGTTAATTCACCTAATATTTCCTCCAGGAATAAATAATGATTTCTACATTCCCTAAAGAAATCCTAACACAGTGATTAAAAAAAAAAAAAAAAATACACACACACATATAGTTGTAGTTGGACACAATACCTTTGTTTTATTTATTTATTAGCACGAGCTATGCAAGTGATCTACCACTGAGTCATAACCCCAGCCCCAACACAGTGACTTCTGATAGGTGATAAGTAACTTTAAAAAACATTAAGTGGGGCTGGGATTGTGGTTCAGCGGTAGAATACTCACCTATCACATGCAAGGCCCTGGGTTCGATCCTCAGCACCACATAAAAATAAAATAAAGATATTATGTCCAACTACAACTAAAAAATAAATATATAAAAAAAAACATTAAGTGAATTTCTTTCATTTTCCTTTTGTCTAGTTTTATATGATCCTTCCTCCACTAGCTTGACCAACTCATTCCAAATAATGCTTTCATAATAACAAGGCTTAATTCAAATTCTGATAACTACTTCAAATTTCTCTTATGTAACAATGAAAATAGCTGGGCATGGGGGGCCATGCCTGTAATCCCAGCAGCTCGAGAGGCTGAGGCAGGAGGATCATGAGTTCAAAGCCAGCTTGAGCAAAAATCAAAGCACTTAAGCAACTCAGTGAGACCTTGTCTCTAAATAAAATACAAAGCAGGGTTGGGCTTAGTGGTAGAGTGCCCCTGAGTTCAATCTCTAGTACCCAAAAAAAAAAAAAAAAAAAAAAAAGAAAGAAAGAAACAAAAAGAAACCAAACTAAACCGAACCAAAACAAAAAAAAACTACTGAAAATAGTTCCTTCTCTGTTTAATTAGGTAAAATGCAGGTATTAAAATACTCACTGAAGAGGCTACCGAAGTAGCAGCTCAGTGGTAGAGTGCTTGCCTAGCATGTGTGAGACACTGGGTTCGATCCTCAGCACCACATACAAATAAATAAATAAATAAAGGCACTGTGCCCATCTACCACTAAAAATAATAATAACAATGATAAAAAGCTCACTGAAGGCCTTCTAAAAGATGATCTAGATGCAATAATACTCTAGTTTTTATATACCAATACAACTGACTCCTGCTGTAGTTTATCAAGCTCAGCAGTCATAGCAATTATTAATCTATAAACATATAATTTAGAGATGTGTATTGGAGAGAGCGGTTAAAAATTAACTGTCTCTAGGTGGAACAATTTCAAGATACGTTTTACTTGTTACTCTGTCTCTTACTACCAGAACATAAACTGTGTGGATAAGAATTTTTGTCTATTTCATCAGACCGTATTTCTAATTGCCAAAACCCAACTGACATATAAAGAAGGTTCAAGAGATATTTCATGAGCAAATTAAAAACACCATTTTTGTATCATGATGTCGGCATTCATTACATGCAAGAAATAAAACAAATTAATAATTTGGGTCAGTCACCTTTATATAGACCTCTGAATATGAAGTCCCCCAAAATTATCTGCCAGTAGCTCTGAAGACCTAGAAAAAGTTGAGACACAAATTAGCATAGGAAGAAATAACATGAATG